AAAAAAGGATTAAGAGCATTCTGCCTTTTCCTTACAGCAGTACCAAGCTACTGAGCACGTAGTAATAATGCTATAATTGATAGCCATAAACTTAGAAGAGACGGTAGTATACACTCTGTGTTGTTTCATTCAGCTTTGCTGTTGAATGCTGACGTTTTTCTTATTTCAGAAAGGGATTTCTGTTCTTTGTGGGATTTCAGAATTTCTCCCTTTCCTTTTGGCTTCTTCCTGCAGAACAGCACTGGTTTGGGATCAGCTTTGCTGGGCTAAAACTCAGTTGCACTGCATGGCAGAGGGTCGCAAAGTGAGCCAACCCTGCACAGAGCTCCTGTGTTCATTCAGACAGGCATTTGACAGAAGGATGTTTAAAAATAATTGCATATCCCCTACCCTATCTTTAAATATTCAGAGAAAAAGTCACAGAAGAACCGATAATGTGACAATAATAATGAGGCTGAAGAACAGCACTGCAGCGTGAACTCATATATCCCTTGGTTTCATTTACATGTGTAGCAGCTGCTTGTTTCTCCATCATAGAATGATCATTACCTGGCTTGTAAGGAGAGAGGGGAAGTCTGTTCACCTTTGGGCAACTAGCTCTGCATCTATGAATAGTTCTTCCCCATCTCATTACGCATGTAATTGCTGCATTATAATTTATTTATTCATTGATTTAACGTAATAGATGAGTAGAAAGAAAATTACCTTTGCAAATAAATTTGATAGGTGGGAAAGCTGCATGGTTTAAAGAAAAAAAAAAAAACACAAAACATGCAGTGTGGAATGTGAGGTGGATGGCATCACAATGTGTGAGCATTGGCATACAGTCCAGACTCATTAGAAAATGAAGGTGAATCCAGCCAACTTCAGTGCTGGTGCAAAAAGAAATGACTGTGGAACTCATATGCAATTTATATTTACATTCTCAGGTATGTGATTTCTTGATGAAATGGGGAGCCAGCTGAAAATGAGTGATAAATAGGATGAGAAGAGGACTCAAACATCAGAAACATAAAGGTAGGAAGTTTGCAAACCATCTGGGGAAGCTGGGGCTGCCTTCCTCTTACTGGTGGTTTTCCCATTTACAAAAAGTGAATTTGCATCACTCCTGCCTTCAGGCTCTGACTGCCTTGCCTGGCGGGGTTGGGCTGCACCAGAGGTCATCACAAAACATTTCTGAGTCCTGTGCTCCAGGTGAGGCACTGAGCATCACCATCCCTGTGAGCAGGACAGGAGTGTTATGGGCAGGAGGCACAGCCCCACCAGCTCTGCGTCCACCACAGGAGTGGCAGTGCTGTGGCCTCACCCATTGGCACAGCACTGAGTTGGGGAAGGCTGGGATGGGGGGAGGTGCTGTGGTTTGACGGCTGTCCACTAAGAGAGCATCAACAGCAACAAATAAATAAATGAGGCCATGGAAATTCATGAATATAGGGGATAGAAAATACACACATGAAATTATTTCTGTTTTCAGTGTCTGTAGAGAACAGTTGCCTGCACACGCTAAGTTTTTTTACATTTGTAAAAGTGTGTAAATACCTGTATCAAATACCTGCTATCAAACTACCGCATCCACACGGAAACCAGATGCAAAATTTGAATATTCAGGCCAGAAAGTGGGCTTCCCTCCACCTCCCCACCCATAACCTTTGTGAATGTTCTAACTGTGCTGTTAGCTCAGTGATGTGCTGAGGTGTGGTTGGACTGAGCCGGCCAGCTCACCCTCCAAGCAGGTGAGGACGAGGACTGTGAATCACCTCATGCTTTTCTCTTTCTGTCATGTTGGTTTTTGCGTGCTTGTTTGTGTTTGAAAACTACTGCTGCTTTCACACTGCTTACTGTCTTCGTTAGCTTCTAGTGAGCACTACTACTGCCTCAGAATTCCTTGGGCAATTTGCATCTCCCCGTAGCACCTGCTTTAGTCACTCAAGCAGCAGCTTCACATGGACCCTGTTTGCCATCTCCTGCCCCGGAAAGCGCTGCTGCGGTGCCCACGCGAATGGCATTACGGCATCTGCAGACGCACGGAGTACAAATCCTTCTGCTAACCTGGGAGCAGCACAGCCGGCGCCGGCAGCGCCCTCTGGTGGCGGAACACGCGAAGCGCAGCCGCAGCTCCAGCCCAGCGTCAGCTGCAGCTCGCGGCGGGCAGCAGGTGAGCAGCTGGGGGCCTTTCGCGCAGTGATGCACAGAAGGGCCGTGCTTTAACTTTGAATAAGTTCAGTACTCATCTTATTTCGAAGAAAAGGCTCGCTTTTAAGAGTGGAGGAAAGCTCTTTTCACTACAGAAATACGAAATGAATTTTCTTAAGATATATTTTACAGATATTCTTACAAGTATGTCAATATCTGTAATAAGGATGTTTGTTATTAAAAAAATCTTTGTTGTTAAACTCTGTGAATTTAAAAAAGGGAAACCTGAAGATACTGGCTACCAACCTTTTCAGAGAGAAACAATCATTCCAAGTTTACATGCAGAGCCCCATGTGGCTGCAAGGGAAGCAGGGCTGAAGCTACAGCACGACCCAGAAGTTACTTGTCTAAGAAATGCAATCTTTTTCAACACTTCATTCTCCACATTTGACACTCCAAAACTCAAAGTCCCTCCTCCCCTCCCCCCCAAAGAAGTACAGAGAGCAATAAGAATAATACTTTTAATTAGTACAGAAAGAACACATGGTACATTCCAGCAGCAGCTAATTGCTTTCTACCATTGGGGAAGAAAAGTTAAGGCTAGTTCAGGGCAACCTGATACAATGGTTTGTTTCCCTACCCCATTCTGCAGACAGTGTTTGTAAGTTTAAGGAGATGATTTGTGCACAAAACATGAGATGTTTATTTAGCAAAACATCAAGAACAGAGAAAACATGCTTTGTTACAGTGGTAAAAATACACAAAGCTTTCAAGCTGCTTTTTACACATCTCAGGTCTGAAACCACCAAGTTGCAGCCAACTGTGCCCCAGCTTTGTGTTACACAGGCTGCCAGTAGGGACCGTGGTGACCAAGTTTATCTATTCAGTGGAGCATAAAGTGCACAAGAAAAATAAGTGCATTGAAATGAACCAACCCTTTCTAGGAGTAACTCCTGTCACACACAGTACTTGCTTAAAATAGCCACTGCTCAAGCTATTCAGTAAAACACAGTACTACATTTTCAACATATATATTCAGGATCCTTTAACTGAATTTTGCAGTTTTTTTCTCCAGTTACCAAAAGACACCAGCGTTCTGCTGCAGCCTACAGTGCTTTGGGGCTGGGGACTTTTATTGGTAAGCACTAAGTACTGCAGTCCTTTCCTTTTTCTCTCCACTTTACTTGAATTGTTTGCAGGCCATTAGGAACCATATCTTGTATGTGCTTTCCTACTCATACATTAAGACCACATTAGCAAGATTTAAGAGGTGAACCACGAAGCAATCATCTAAGTAAACAAGTGCTATTAATTTAGGGTGCATCTGCATATTTAAAATAGGAAGAAAAAAAAAAAGACCTGGGACATTCTCAAGTGCATTACATATATCAGTGGTGGGTGCTCAGTCACTGGAACTTTTGTACACTACGTTTACCAGAAGGGCAGGTATTAAATGCAGGCTCTCCTCAGATTAGCTTATTCAATCCCCCTTTGGCACGTGCTGAATTCTGTAACTTATTTTACACATTTCTTTTTACAGTGAAAGCCGCTTGCTGTGTAATCCTTCCTGAGATAGAAAACCAAGGTTAGGTTCCATGACATCTCATTTACATTGCTAGATTACCACAGAGCAGTCAGATGAGAACAACTGCAGCCAGGAAGCCAAGCAGTTCATTTATTCACACCCATCTACTTTAATTCAGTCCTGTTTGTTACTAATATATGCTTTTTTTCTTTTTTTTTGCTTTTTTGGGGGGGAGGGAGAATCATACTTTGTGCTCCCACTATGTAAGTGGCATTATAAAGTAAATACTAGCTGCCTACTCATTTTTACCTTATAGCCCCTACCCACTGCTTCTATGGCATCTTTGTCAACACATCTGAGCACCTGCAGCTGCTTTCCCAGAGTCAAGGAAGAACCACTGCCAACAAACACAGCCCTCCGCTGACAGATGTTTACAGAATCCAACAGGTAAATAAAGCCTTACAGGAATTCTTTGGGAGAAAAGGAGTTTAAGAACTCAGTACTGCAACTAGAGAATCAGCATTTTGCCAGGAGCACAGATGAGATAAATAAGGCAAGGGTCCTTGGAAGCCAGGAGATTATTAGAGGCAAAAGCAGCAGTGACAAAACAAGTTCTTTGTTCTTGAGAGTGAAAACTCAGACCACACTTCATGCAGCTGCCCAGGGAACAGATCAGTGCTCTCAGCCCCCCTTTGTTTTCCTTAGAGCTGACAGAGTAGTCCTTTGAGCACTTCCCTACCTTGCTCTAGCACAACCCAGTGGTAGAGCATATCCCACAGGGAGATTTTTGTTCTCTTCAAGAAGCATAAAGTAACATCTACAACACAGGATCACTCCCCATCCTCTTTAAAACAGTGGATAAAGCAGCTTTTCCTGTTGCGTTTTCTATATGGACTTGATCCCAAGGAGGAAGTTTTCCATATAAAACATCTCAAGTTGAAAAAGTACAGCTCATATATATATATGCAGTTTGTAACTAACTCCTTTGTACAACCAGATTTCACTGTGTACACACATTATATATAGCGTTTAGCTACAGAAGTAGCTAAAAAGCAACAACAACAAAAATTCATTGCAAACAGGAACCAACAGACTTCCAAGTGCATTTTACACAATACAGATTTTGCAGCTTTTCAAATTAGTTTTCATTAAGTACTAGGTATACTGTAAAACTCTGATCCTGTATTTCTGATTTCATTTTTCCCAGCAGAGATTTTTAGTATTCATTAGTAATCCTGATATCAAGAGTCAGATGTGTAATGTATTCCTAGGTAGTAGCTTAATGTATTGTATAAAAGTCAGTTTTCTTTGTCACCAAGAACTAGAGTCCGTTTCAATACCATTCCCTGAGGCAATCCTTATTTTATTTTGTCCTCCAATCATCTGTATATAGTTGATGATCTGTTCCAGTCTGCTTTCTTTACAAATCAGTTAGATACAGAACCTCGCACTGCTAATTTTAAGCAGTTATCCTTCCCCTTACTGCTCTCTCCTTCTCTCCAACAATCCCGACTTCCCAAACAGCAAATCAGTGTGCTTGACTTCCATAGGACAGGAACTGAGATGTTTAAACAATGGACATGAATTTTTGAAGATGCAAATGTATGATAGCAGACAGCTACCAGGACAGAATTACAATGCAATGAACAATTTAACATTTATCTTATTAAAACTGAAGTTATTCTCTTGAAGAATTAATGGTGCTAAAAAGGCAGCGCTGAGGGGGAGAGAAACAAGAATTATCATCCTTGGTCCACAGAAACTCACCCGAGCAATAACACCACATCTTTACATTCTCAATGGACTAAGGAGGTTTCTCCTGAGAATAACTCCACTTTTTTCTTTTTATTTTTAATGTCCATATATAATGAATGCACTTACTTAAAGCTTTAAGTTTTAGTAACTTCATTTAGACTTTGTTTATAAAACAAACACACACAAGCACACTTCCTAGAGTGCAAAATGCTTAAATACTTCCACATCAGAACTCCACATGTAGTTTCTGGAACAGTGATCCTTTTGTTCTCAGAGTCAACTTCTTCCTTGTCATCGCATCCATCGCCAGCAACGGTTGCATCAAAACTAACAAAAAAATGCAGAGAACGCAACAGTAGAAATCTCTCTATCGTTTCTTCAGTTTTCCAGAGAGCACTGTTCATTTGTATAAACTCATTGTTGGACTTTGATACATGCACATGTAAGCATCACAAAGCAGTCTTCGTGCACAACCTTGAATTTTCCTGGAATCCAGCGAGTGCAGTTCTTCTACAGACATCTTCAGGTATTCGCCAACTTCTGGGCATGGGGTGACTTGTGGAATGTTAAAGCCATTCTGACCTCCTTTTATGCATGAGGAAAGAAACAGATGAGGATTAGGATTCCATTTACATACACTTACCCTTTAGAACATACTTCAATTACAACAGCATCACTAATTCTTGAAAATGCCTTCAGAAAAAATGTAAATGTTATTCTGGACTACTTCAGGGTTCACAAGAAGGTATGAGAAGCATATTTGCTCCAGAGAAATTACAGAATAGCTTCTGGCATTAGTGTTAGCCTTTAAAGAAAAGCAGTGCACAATTTGTTCTGCACAGAGACGTCAAAGTGTAATGAAAAATATAGTATCAATCACAGTTATTTGCTTTTCTGATGGAACATTCATGCATCTGTAATACTTATCTGTGTAAGAAAAAAATGGTGAGGTATTTATCATCTTTTTGGAGAATTTGATCTGCAAGCTCCACTAAGAAAAACCCACGCAAGCACAATGACAGAATCATGCCACAGAAAGGGCTGTCAGGTCTCAACACTGACAGTACAAATTCCATTTGGGACAGTGACTTGAACACACACTCCACCTTGCACACTACTGAATTTGTTAATGAAGTGCTATCAAATAACAGAATGAAATTATAAGCCAGGACTGTCCGTACCTGACTTGCAAGACTGAAAGGAAGTTTGCTCCTGGCCATTCTAAATGTAAAGTGAGAAAATTCAATCACAAGTATGGACATCCGTGGCACTGTTTCCTAGCAGACACTTTTTAGCTTATAACTCCAGCTGAAGAAAATTATTTGTGATAAAATAACTAAACTCAGCAGGATCTCATGTGATCCTACATTCCTGGAATACAGTGGTTCTTAACAGACTTAAGTCATACACATTTCAAGCCCTTCAATACAAAGCTTTATTGCCATGTGGTGTTGGGACAACCTTAATCCTACAGCAGTTTCACTTTTGGCAGGAGGCAACACTTCTCCCAGTCTCCCCCAAAATAAAAATAATTTCCAAAAAGACACCAAATCATAGAGGGACTCAAGAATTCTGCATGCAAATAACTGTTGCATTCAGTCCAACACTTGCATCTATCACTGCTTTTCACAGGCATCAGAACTCAACACAGTCCTTGTTACTGTTTAATGCAGCAATGTCTAAAAGAATATTTATTTTCCCGACATTTGTGTTATTATAGGGTAAGTTTCCCACTGCTAATTCTAAAGAGATTCAAAGGAGTAGCACAGAGTGCACCACATTACTGCAGTGAAGTTGTATTAGAAATAACAAAGTCATTTAAGCAAAAGCAATAGAAGGGATATTTGCAAACTATCTGCTAATTGTGCACATCCATTTAAAAAGACTGAAGGAATGTGCTGCAACTTTTAAATAAATTCCTTTAAAATAAGTTCTCTCTGCCAAACTTACAAAATATAGAAAACCATAAAGAGCCCTTCTGGAGGATCTCTCCAGTTAATTCAGTACCATGTACTTACTAGGGCATCCAATTTTGCTGAAAATCAGAGCATACACATTAAGTCTGCTATATCGATGTGCTAAGGAAAGGATGGGTCAAGATTCATGTCCTAGCATTAAACGCTTCAAGTGAGATGACACTGTATCACCAAATGTTAGGAAATAAATAGGCACTAAAACTTACAGAACTATAATACAAGTAAAAAAAGTTACAGAAAACCGAAGAGAATAAATTAAAGATGTACCATCCCGATCTGCCATGCTGTCAAAGAAAAGCCAGGCGGAGTCATCTCTCCCGTACTTAACAAAAGCTACATAGTGGCTTGTTTCTATGCAGAGGACAGCAAACAACTCCATCTTCTGGTATGGGATACAACCGTGTCGCCAATCCCAGTCTGGCAGATCTTTAGGGAGTGACAATGGATTGAATTTATGACTCTGTCTCCTGGGATGAAGATGAACCTACAATTGAAGTAATATTTCAGAAGAGAAAAAAAAAATCAACTCAAGATTATTTGCTTCAGTGGCAGACAGAGCTGAGAACAGTCCTGCTGAAGATTAATGGTCTCAGAGAAGGAACTGCAAAGTAACAGTAGCAAACATTTATTCTATCCCCCTCCTCCCAATCACTGTAGTGCAGTATTTCCCAAAAAATTCAGAAGGAAAAATCAGATTTAATGCAAGAATTTTCTAATATGCTCAAGACTTGAAAATAAGCCATGAATTTGACAGCTTCATGCAATTACCAAACAGCTCTAAACATTAAGTGGTTTTATATCATGAAATTATTTACCAATTCCAACAAGTAAAATGGAAAATTATGTTTTAAAGAAGATGGGGAACAAATTCCAAGATGCCTGCAACTACTCTTTCACCACACTTTTAGTACAGAAAAGCTTGACAAACTCACTGCAGGGTCATGCGGCCTTCCCACAGCTTTCCCTGGCAGGGCAGCTCACTAATACTCCCTACGCTCTTTTTTTTTATTTTTTTTATTACAGCATGTGCCATTTGGAGTAAACCCATGCAGAACAGACAGCAGCTTACTTGTGTATTGCAGGTTTTGCAGAACTGCTTGATTTTCCCAGCAGAAATCTCAGTATCTTCATAACATTCTCTGCACTCATACATAGCCAGCCCTCCGCAAATACGGCACTGCCTGGGAGCTGCAGTTTTAAACAAGATGTTAGTCTGCCATTTAGGAGCCTTTTTAAGTTGTCTAAGAAGAAGGGTATGGAAAAAGAAGATTATTATTACTTTGCAGAGAGAGAACGTATTATAAAAGGCTTAAAACCATATAGCTAATCAAAGCAGAAACTACATTTAATTTCTTTCCTTTAATTTCTTCTCTTTAACAATGTGGAAGAAGAAAAAAGGTTTTAAAAATGGGAAGTTGCAAACAGTGATAAAAATCAATTTATATCAATTCATTAAAATAGTTCTCTCATCCTATCAGTCTTCATCTTCATCTGTTGACATCAGCAAACAGACGCATAACATAGGCTGATGGCTGTGACAGTGAAAGAAAACACTGGGACAGTTTAGAACAGAGATGATTATTCTAATAACTTATAGCATTATTGCATAATTAATTATTGCATAAGAATTATTATTATGCATTAATATGCATTAATTATTGCATAAGAACTAAAAATCAAATTTCCTTATGTAATGCAGTACAAAAAAGTCAGTAGTGACAAGTGTGAAAAATATAGGTCTGCAAATAAAAATAAAGTGAGATTTACAGCTAAACGTGCAGCATCACTGCATGCTGCAGGTTTACATGCTTGTCAGTTCTGAATACAGGTACTATAAACTGCCTGAGGTATTTTCATTGTGCTAGTTGCTTTCAAAAACTCACTCTCCTTATTCAACACAAAACTGTATACTTACTGTCTTCAAGTAAATCTGTTATATTTAGCTCCAAGGATGGAAAAATTTTGTTGAACATTTTGAAGTCTTTTCCAAATCGAGGCATCTGAATAATCAGGCAAGAAGGAGCCTGGGTGAAAAGTTAGAAAATAATCAGGCAAGCTTGAAAAAGATAATTATCTAAATTTAGAGGTATACCTCTTCTAATGCTATAAATGTATTTAGATGTTATTTATGGTTGCAGCCTACTGTCTTAAAAATTAACAAAAAAGTCAAGACAAAATTAAGTCTTTGAAAAAAAAAAAATCTACAGCTAAAACCCATGAAAGCATCTAGCACCTAATTCACTGTCAAATGTCTTAAGTGCCAGTTACGATGGCATGATATTAAATACTGGACTACATCCCCTTGTAAAAACAAAGACTTTTTTAAAAGTGGGTTTTTTTGTTTGTTTGTTTTAAGCTTTTTCCATTGTAAAGCTTTTTACAAACATAGGAATCCCAAAATACTAGTTCTTAAGGCAACTTGCCAACAGTAACCAGAGAATTTTATTTTGGTAATTCTTTGTCTAAACAGATCAAAGCAATTTTGGTAACATACACATCAAGTCAACCATAAAATATTTCTGTAATGTAGGCAACCTGCACCACTGACCACTCCACCATTCCAACACATCTGCATTTTCCTTTCATACCCAATCTCATTTTTCTCTCATTGCTGAATGGGCAAGTATGTAGCTCTCATCATTTCTGACAAAGCAACAGTGTCACCAACCTCTGCAAACTTCAAGTTGCTGTTGATGAACGACCACTCCAGTAACTGCTGAATTGTTGGGACTCCAACTTTCTCATTTTTGTCCATAAAAATTTGGTAGAAATAACAATCTTGTACTTTCTGACCTGCTGATCTGAGAATAGAATTCAAAAAAAAAAAAAAATCAGATCTACCATAGCGACAGCTGTACTTTGCAAAGAAAATATTAACTACAAAATGTAGCCCATACAACATCCTCTCTACTTTGAAATATATGTGCTTAAAAAAAAAAGCCAGCAACAACAAAAAGCCTTAAGTAACAGGCAACCATTAGATGTGGACTGACTGTAGAAAAGCTATTGAAGAAACAAAAGCACCATAAGTATGTTCTAAAGATGTTTTTATATTCCTGAATTATCAACTCAAAAATACTTGGGGGCTGCCCAGCTCTGCTTGATGCAATTCCTGGGATAAAGAAAGAATGTAAAAACTACAGGAAACGCAGCATTGCTGATGCCACAGAACACAGCAAGGAACATGAGAGTATCAGGTGCCAGCTAGCAGAATGTCAGCCATGTGCAACAATCCCTTCCATTCTTTATTTCAGTTGAGACAGCTGAATCCTTGTAGTGCCACAGCCAGAGTGAAGGCTTACCTACATGTCAGCATCTGTTACTTTGTCAGAAGTTAAAGCAGCAAAACTTAATCAAGGTGAGCCACTGAAATGCTTTCATGAGCCAGGAAGAAATACAAGTCTGATTCCATGGCTTAAACACCAAATCAGGAAACCCTGCAGCTTGTCCCAAAAATAAGGAGCTATAAAGCTGCAGGCCTCATTAGTAAGGTATACTCTAGCCTCTCTCTAGCACAATTAATAGGCATACACTAATAAGGCTTTGCCATCAGCAGCTGTAGGGAATCTTTGTTCCAGCACTCATGTCATGACAAGGTTGAGTTTTTGCAATAACAGATGAACAGAGAAAAATACATCCTACCAAAAATGATAGGAAACACCATCAAGTTTGTCAGTGTAATTTTATGAGCCCTATTAATACATAATATTAATAATAATCACAAGTCAAAGATGTCTCAGTAAGAAAGGCAGCAGATAGTTCCTCCCCATCAGTCTGTACAGACAAATAAATGAGTACAACAAAGAAAAGACTCACCTTATTTTCAACAGTGGTTCAACTCTTAGAATATGATGAAATAAAATATTCAAAAATTCTTCTGGATCTGAGAAAAAAAATAAAGTTGTCTTAATATCTTAAAAAGAAGCAGTATTTAAGAATGAGAGTTGCAAAAATTTAAATAAGAAAAATATAAAGGTTCATTTGCACAATTTCGTGATATTTCAAGGTAAATTTATGACAAACTACAAACATTTTGATGGCACAAACCTCTATTTTCTCTCTTGGCATCAAATGACCCTAATAACAGACACATGCTCTCAATGAGCTAGCAGGGTTTTCCAGTACAGACTGCAAAGACACTCTGTATTCCAGAGGAGTCATTTGGTACCAGTTTGTTTTTTGTTCTTGTTGTTTGTTTGTTTGTTTTAAACAAGAGAACTAAAAAATACAACTGAGAAATTGAAGAGGAGAGGTGAAGAGACAGTTAACACTTATTTGAAAACACACAGCTTGGTGAAGTTCATCTAAGCTAGAGAATGAGCTCTCTAATCAAGAACAAACCAGCATTAGCTTAGATTAGAGATCTAATCACCCCCAGCAGTTTTCCATTTTATTTTTTCTTCCTACCACTAACTGTAATAAATATTAGTTTTCAGCATTTAACATTCTCAAAGAACATGGTGTTCTCCCACACAAAATCAGAACTATTACATAATGAAAATGTTAATTAATCCTTATATGCAGCAGAAGATCAAAAGATTGAGATTTGGTTTTCTTAACATGTTACACATTTTATTTCTTAGAATACTGTATAATCACTGTGGCCACAAAACGTTTTGGTGGGAAGATCAAAGGAAGCAAAGTGACATTTTGAAAGAGGACAGAGATCACAACCTTTGTTTCTGAGATCTCCCCTAACTACTAGAAGGGAGTGTCTCATTTCATGGAGACACAGGCATAAGAAAGCAATAAATCCAGTCAGAAAAAGACTGGATGCAGAAACTGATAAAGTTAGAGGGTTCCTTATAGAATAGAGGAAGCAAGAAAAAAAAAAAAAAAGACAGACCTTTTTACGATCCAGTGGTCACTCAAGTCTCTGGTACAGATATTACTGCTCCAGAAAAATTTCTATTTTACTTTGTATAATAATATAAGTATTTTGTAGGACAACTCTTACAGATTGCAAAGAAAGGAAAAGCCTTCCCAGTTACCTTTTTCCTCTGAAGTGAATCCTGATGCAGCCTCAACTTTTTCAAGTATTTTCCTCAGTTTCATTATTTTTGTAGCACATACATATCCATATCTAAGATAAATGGGTTTAACAAGCTATTAGCTAGTTTGTAATCAAGTCAGAGGAAAAGAAAAAAACTCAAGTGCTGAAACACAGGCTTGTAGATCTTTTTCTAACTGTGTACGGTGTTTCTGCAAAGCTACATACTGACTCCTCATACTCACCTGATTCAGTTTTCTAAAAGCAATCTAAATGTTGAACATTACTCAGTGCTCCTGCATAAAAGGTTTTTCTAAACTGTAACTTACCAGGAGGATAACTCTTTCTGATCAGTTACTTCTGATTTGTTTTCACACTAATTTGCACCACTTAATGCAGCATTTTCAGTGTCTCACACAACAACACCATCAGTCATTAATAAAGAGTTAAGAAAGATACAGAACTGTATTTCTGATCTGAGGAGCTGATGCTTTCAGCAATCATCTCAAACTTTACAAAAATACAGAGAACTTTGTAAGCATGGTGGAAAGGCAGGAGTAACCCTTTCAGTCCTCTCAGCCACTTGAGATTGCTGCACCCTGTGTGCACCCCACTACCTGCACTACAGATCCCCAGAACACACCAGGCAAACTAAGGAAAGAATGGTGCAGAAGACATCATCTTCCTCCAGGAATCCAAGGAAAAACTTGCCCATAGAATTTCAAAATTGTGTTATATTTGAAGGTTTAAAAAAAAAAAAAAAAAAAAGTATGAAGACAAATAACAAAGATTTTTGCCACACTCCTTTTGCTCATTATACCTGAGAAATTATGAAATTAACTTCCTGTTTAATAAAAAGTATTTTGGTCACTTGCAGAATCACTGAAGCTCTGTAAGCCCCCAGAAGTCTATGACACTGTGAAACTTCATGTAAGTTGACCCAAACACTTTTGTTGTCAAGAACAGCAATAACAAAGATATAAATACAGACATTAGAAATGAATATAACTCATTTATCAACGTTCTTGTACAACAAATTTTACAAAAGTTTTATGCTCATTCTATTTCCAAATCCAGACAAATATAAATATTTTATCACCAAACTATGTGCAACTATTTCCAGTTAGCACTGATGAAATTTACTATAAAGAACAATTGTTAATTAAAAAAAAAAAAAAACAACAAAAAACAGCGAAGGAAATCTGGCAGGTTTGCTACAGGAATGTGTATGCAGAAGGCTTCATTATAAAATTTATTTTAGATGAAAGACTGGTTTATGTCTCTACTTACATTCTAAGAGGATTCACAATCTCTGTTCGCAATAACTCTTGAGTCTCACTATAATACTCTACATCATTCTTTTCTTTAGGCCTGAGTAACACAGTGTCCAAAACGGAGCTAAAAGAAAACAAGCTACAGAAGAAAGAAAAAGAAGGCAGGTTGGTTTTGATTCTGAAGATAGAACCATTCAGATGCCTAAACAACATAAGATGAGCAAAGCAAAGCAATGGGAAGAATTAAAGAATTAAGCACAAAATGAGATCATTACGGACAAGACAACACAGCCATACTAAGCAACAAAGGTCCACTCTAACCCCATACCCTCATGCCAGCAGAATACAAAACCAGCTACCGAGGCAGGATTCCACAAGCAGGTTAAAAGAGTTTCTCTCTGACCCTCTCCCACCCACATACTCTCTAATCCTTCAGAAGTCCATGGACTCATGCAGTCCAGAAGAGTATGAATCAAAGAACAGCATGGATTGGAACAGACCTCAAGGATCACTGAGTTCCAACCCTCTGCTGCAGACAGGGCTGCCAACCACTAGATCAAGTACTGGATCAGACTGTCCAGAGCTGCAACCAACCTGGCTTTGAACACCTGCAGGGATGGGGCATTTACCACCTCTCTGGGCAGCCTGTTCCATTTGCTCAGTAAAAAACTGTCCCCAGACATCTAATCTAATCCAAATCTCCCTCCCTTTAGTTTAAAACCATTCCCCCATCCTGTCACTATCTACCTTTGTACAAAGTCGATTTCCCTCCCGTTTATAAACTCCCTTTAAATATGTTGAAAGGCCAGTACAATCCGGACACACAGGTGATTGATCAGCACTTCAAGTTAAGCAACAAATCCTGCAGAGCTTTTTCAAATGTAAAGAGCATAGTATGTGCTAAAGAGTGTAATGCATGGCTTTTGAAGCTGTACAGTAATAAAAACAGAATCATTACAACAAGAATTGCGTGTTCTGTGCTTCTAGCACACCTCCCACTAACCCACACCTTGGGATGCCACTATACAAATTGTGAACTTACCAGAATAAGGTGGAGTCTAAGTAACAGGAGTTGTAATGACCCTGGATACCTTTCTTCTTTCCAATCATTGTCTCTAAACCTTCTTTTTCCATTTTTGGAGGAGTGTTTTCTTCTACCACTTCACTTAAGTAACCTCCAAAGGCTGAAATTTTTTTTTCAAAAGACACTTTAAAGCCTCCAATTTTATCCCCCTTGAGATTTTCCTATTAATGTTTCATTGCTAAACTTCTGCCTTAGCACAAAACATTCATTTTCTGGACTAGAATAGCATTTTATTATAGCTAAGACTCGCTCTCTTCCAGAAAGTGAACAAGGCCTCACATTCCACACAGTGCACACAGGAGTACTTCAGATAGCCTGCAGCACTGAATTAATTTTGCCCAGTAGGAGTGAAATTCTCAGTTTAAATGCCCTGTTCACACCATCATGCTAATACTGAGATGCTTTATCCTTTGCTGTTCTCCCAAGCAAAATGACACAACCCAAGAAATCTAATAACATTAGAAAAAAACAAAAAGTTAGCTTTTCCGCCACTGATTTTCATCATACACTCTTTTCTTTCAGTATTTAGGACAGAAATATAACTTATTTCTGATACTGCAATCCCACATTGCTGAATTTGCTAATACCATTTTCAGCAAGACTGCTTCACAATTTCTAAAGTAAACAATATGAAACATAAATTCCCAAGTTTTATGAAATTTCCTTAAATTACCATTAAGTACAAAAAAGCCAGAAAAGCATTATATTCTATAGAGATCAATTTCCTGTTCATAAGCCTCATTTAGGTAATGCCTATAGAGATCTCCAAGTGTTCAATGAAACCAAACCCCGTGTCAGTTCCCAGCTGATAGATAAACAATAAGCAGAAGCTCGGTACCTAGAGAGTTGCAGCGTTCAATCTGATTGGAAACCGGCTGTAGTGATGCAAACCTGGAATCTGGTCTGCAGCTTTTCAGTTTAACAAAAAGAGCTTTCTTTGGAGCACAAGTGAAGTATCGAGTTCCTTTAAATGTTCCATCTGTACAACCTGCACATTCGTCTTCCTGAAAATTAAAGTGAGAATTCACCGCTTTTTCATATTCCCACAATTCTGTAATAAGATGTTGAATTAAAATATCTACCCAAAAAAACACCCTTTGAGTATTTTGAAGTAATGTTGCTGCTTTTTAGTGTGTGTACGAAGCTTTGGCTGAGGCGTTGTTTGCCTGGATTTACTGAGGAAATTAAGCATTGCACTTTCTTCAGAAGAAACATGGGAGAGGTGGGAGATGAGAACAAGAATTAAACCTACTCAGCTTCAAGGACTTTAACTAAGCTAGCCCCTTAATCCAGATATCCTGTGAAGTAGAAAAAGCATACATGTACTACCAAGCATCTTTCAGAACTCAATTACATCGTTAAGCATTGGAAGTGTGAACACTTTCTGTGTCACTGTGGACTACGTACAACTCATCAAGGAAGGCAACAGAAGCTAGATCTGAAGTATTACGAGTTATAATTGTTAAATATCTTTGATACCACTATTTAAGGTATATTATCACTTACAAAACCTCCTATGATCTGATGCAGAAATGCATGACAAACAAGCATAAGAGCCCAGTTTAACAAAAAGCATCTTAAGATGCAAATACGTATCTGTGGCAAACTATACACTGAGCTTCACCCACTGAAGCCACAAACATCAGGATTTTTCCAACAGCGCATTTTCACTTACTTTGCTAAAAATGTTTGTTGTTTCATACAACTGTACACTACTTTATCTGAAATTTTACCAGAAATGATCCCAAGATAAACAACTCTGCATCTCTATCAGTTTAGTGATAGCACTCAGTAGGTCAGGTCAACGGCAAGACATGATCTTGAAAGCCATTACCAATCTAGGCTCTAATTGCACACGTTAATAAGTGACAGCCATTCTCTACTATGGCAGCAACTGGAGAGTAACTCTAAGTACATAAAAGTAATTCATGTTTGCAGCAACTGTGAATTCATGAAGGGCTGGTAGGGACACCAAACACTTATCTGTCAGACCAAGAATACTGCTACCATCAATTACCAAAATCAGTATTGCAGTGCCACTGATGGACTCTGACACTGCCTGCCTGCTGGTGTGCCACATGCACTTGAGGCTATTACACCCAGGACTTTTTTTATTTACTTATTTCACAGAACTGTATCACAGAGCCTTTAAATAGCGTGGGGCTTTTCACCTCAGTGACAAGCTCAGTAAGTAAGGTGGACAAAGGACACTCCACTTAAGCAAGTAACCTACAAAGCAAATAAGTCACCTACAGTCCTTCTGATTAAATCATGCTTTGTAACACAAAGCCACCTCAGAGCCTATTAATGGAATAAGGCCTAGGGCAGCCACAAAAGTCAGAGCCCATCTGAGATTTCATCTACCTTACAAGGAGATCACACAGCAACTTTAGACAAATTTTCCTCCAGACTGACCACTACTATAAAGTATACAGGCACCAACTCTCAAAGCAGATAATTAATACTATTATGAATCAACTTATCAGATGATATTTACCAGCTCCAGTCCAGCTAATACTTCATTTACCCCAGGGGGCTGACCAATCCAGCGAATCACTCCATAGAATGGGGGATTTTCTTTGACTTCAGCCAAGGAACCTGCTTCAAGACCATGTGAGTTACCAACAGGGCCTCCTGTTGATGGACTTTCCTGGTTAGCTGTAGTGTTTACATCACCAATGACTGACTGAACAGATAAAGACAGAGGACTGTGTCCAATAGCACCGTTAGTAGTTGATGCTTTTGTCAAACTGAAAGGGAGAGAGTGGAATCTGTTTTCTGTAGTCACAGAGTTTGTTAAAGGTGGCTGCAGTGGCGGTGAAGAATGCCCAAATCCAGGAGATGAATCAGTAAGTGATTTTGCAGGGTCTTCAGCAACTGTTAAGAATCAAAAACAAGATGTTAACTCAAGTATTGTTTGGGGAACCTCCCTTTCCTTACCAAAGGGGAGGCTGAGCTGTCAAACCAATACATGTATCTGCAACTACATCTGATTTAATGCATGTCCTGCATAGGAAGCATTAAGCTGGAGGAAGGCAGGAAGATGTTTGTCACAGCACCAGAGACAGAACTGTGTGAGGAAGAACTACTACAACCCTACAACTTACATCACATAACCAATGGAAACATGCAGCACAAAGAAAGGTGTTAGCCAGAAATTACAGGAAGGTTTAAAATTCATGTTTTTTTAGTAACCCAAGGCAGAACTGGTGTTTGAATGCAAGTAAACAGCCCCAGTGATTACCGTAGTGGGTCAAACTAGGAACACTGAACAACTAAGGAGAGATCTCAGCTGGCGTTAATACAAAAATGAGTAATTGCTTATGGATATGCATCCTCTTCCACCATGGCTGCACCACAACATGTTTTAGTTCTAGGACAGGGAATCTATCTGCGTCCATGGAGAATAAAGGGTTTTAATGAGCCACAACTAATGTAGTGCTTAATTAATGAGATCAGAACTAGATGTAATAACACAGATGTTTCACATCTACTCTCATCTCTCTATGTGGTCTCTATTACACAATTGATATTTACAGAGTAAAAGTCACTTTCTTTTTTTACGTATTACAATAAACTAAAACTAATTTTTATATATAATTTCCACGCTTGGTATCTGTTAGGCCATCATCAACAATTTTAACAAATTTTCTTTTACAGTTCACAGAACACAAGGCCTACCTCTGATTTACTGTGGAAACCTGTAGCAATGTTATTAATTTAGTATTCACCCCTTCAGTTAGCCACACTTCAGGAAACAGTAATCAGAAGAAAAATACACATTAGATCCAGAAGCAAATAAAGATCCACTGATGCTCTCCGTACACGCACCCAAATTTGTGAAAATTCAGTGAGATTTTATAAAAATAATTTAAAATACTCAGATATATGTGTATGTATGTGACACAGATTTTTTTTTTTTTCCTACTTTGAGACTCATCAGCTAGCATGGCAGTGTTACAGGCTTAAGGGAACTACATGATCAGGAAGAAAAATGCACACAATATACAGTTAGTATATACAGTTGTCTACAACAAGGAGTATCTTCTCTTCCTACTAAGCTGCTATTCTGCCTGCAAGACATGCACGTTCCCACAGTGCTGCAAATACATTTCCAAGATGTAATCTACAAACAGGAGAAAAACAGGCCTACCAATTAAGACAATATATTTCCACTGGGGCTCCGAAACACTTTACAACAGAGTATGTTTTCCTCTACATATGCCAACTGTTTTGCTCTAAATTCATAATTGTTTTATGTGAAGAACATACATACACCTTTTTTGAAATAAAATGTATGCCTATGTGAAAGACTATCATCTCTCATTACCTTCATCAATATACCATGGGGGTTTTGTTTTTGCTTGAGGCTGAGAATCAACTGATGATCCATTTAATGTGTAGAAGACTTCAGATCTGTTTCTATTTCCAGGCTCAGAGGTAGATCCTGGAAAAGAATGCATGTTGTACTTGAGAGATTCACTGCCCTTCACAGCTGATTAACTTATACTGCAAAGGAGAGATTGGTTTGTTACCATAATTCCAAAATAACAGAATTGCCCTTCCACAAAGCAGCATCTCTTGCATCGAAAGCAACAGTTCTAAGCTTGCAACCAGATAGCAGTTTACGCTGACATTAATCAATCACCCAAATTGAAAATTAAAGTTAGGAATCTGAAAAGGCAGAAAACCACCCACAAGTGTTAATGTTTCATTACTATGAATTATGGATATAGGAAAGCAGTTTGAGAAACAGTTTACATAGGCATTTTTTAATCTTTTAAAGCTAAAAAAAAATTTAGAATAGGCAAATAAAGTACCAATCCAATCCCACACAGCTTTAACTTGTGCTGACATACAACCACAGTTACTTCAGTGAAGGCCATCCATTTCAGTTAGCAGAAGATGCAAGGGAGAACAGCTTACAGAGCATCCATCCCATCATTAGTATTCCACAGCCCAAAACTGACAGCAGGAATAAGACAACTCTGCACCTTGATTTATGCCTTTTAAAAATACTAATGTACACACACACATATTATTACTTGCTTTCGTTCTCCCCCCTTAGGAAAAAAATCTAGCCAAAACCAAAAGTCAAAATAAGCCTATATTTTATAAAACTTCATTCTGGTTCTGAACCACAGCAAAATTGATACATTCATTATTAAATAGATCTGCTCCACAGTTAAATATTAGGAAGTTTCTTAAGCAGAACAAAGTCAACAGAAAACTCAATTTAAAAATAGACAAACCACAGTTTCAGAAAAGGACTGGGCTGTGAGGTAACACGCCCCTGAATTTTTGCTCAACCTCAAATTGGTTGTTGAATAGTCTTAACTTCTGCATGCATTTTAACAACAACAAAAAAAACGCTCAGAAAACTGTAAATTATCCCTATTATAGAAAATAAGTTCATGAAAATATTCTGAGTATTCACTGCTTCAGACAAACTTAACTCGATAAGTGACTGCAAAAATGAATAAAGCATAAGGCAATGTTTTGCTCCAAGCAATATAAATTTGTAATCTTACATTAAAAAAATGACCCCTCATACGTACCTGTTGCCTTTGGCTTACTATGGTTGAACACACTTTTATCACCACCACCTCTTGCAGTATAGGCAAGCTTGGGAGGTCTCCTGTCTTGTGACACAGTCTCTAAGATGGTGCATATGAACGGAACATTAGTTTTCTACACCACACAAAAATTCAGCTTGAGATGCAACTGAATAAAGGTGCCATCAAGTTTTCAAACTGAAGGGAGTAAAAACAGTGTTTGGTACAGAGCCAACAATTTCTTCTACTGGTAGGGTTTGTTTCCATTGCATCAATCATTACTCATTCCAATTTTGCATTTGTTTAGCATATCTAACAGACCAACTTCAGATTCTTCAATGCACATTTCATGCTTACATTATGGGAAACACATGAAATTCTTAGTTCTTTTCCTCCCTACAAACAGAATTACAGCAAACCTTTCCTTGAATTTCTCCAGAGAAGAGAGGGCCCAAAAACATGCATCTCAGCAAGCCAACGAGAAGGAGGTGAATGTAAGAAAAGCTGACCAAGCTGAAGAGAGTAGGGACAATAGCTACATGTTGGATAAAACCACACTCTCACTGGTACCTGGTATCAGATAGTTTCATGTTATTTATTTGTGCCCTATTTTTTTTCTTCTGAAGGTAAGAAAAATCACTGGATCATAGTTGTTACAACTTCACTGAATTACAGGAATAGACAATTTTTTAAAAGCCTTGCTATGAATTTTTCAGAAACTTTTCAAATGTTTACTCACAGAATGCATACATAATGCTGCCAATACGTTTCAACCCAAGGAAGACATGCTTAATGATCCACATTATTTAAATTCCTTGAGCTGAAAAACATTCAAGAATGATTTCTGCTGTCACCTCTCACATACTTAGGTATGCCTATATCGTATCCCATACAATTTGAAAAGATCACTGTTCAGTATTAGAATGGTTTCCACAAGTGAGATTGCAACCAAGAAAACTGAAGAGAACACAAACTAATTTAGGTGAATTCAGGATATAGTAACTCCACAGTACTGTTTTGATTGCATAGGTTGTTATCCATCTGCCTTAGGATTAAGAAAGGAGAGCATACCTGGTATAACATCATTGATATGCAAAAGAAGGGTACTTTCAACACTTGCAAAACTGCACAGCTGTATGCCATTGTATCTGCCATCCCAGTTTCCAATAGGATTATCCTAAAAATAGAAAAACATGTTACATGTATCCCAAGAAAAAAAATAGGGCATGCAGAACACCTGCCCTTATGAACATGTTTAACCATTTATGGTAAAAAGAAAAATTAAAAGTTTGACAGCAAATATTTTTTTCTGTACAAACTTTTCTGTACAAAACAAGTCAAACATTAGTCTTTAAAGACAAACATCCCTGTTCTTTTCTGAAGTATCTCCTATTTTAACAATCTTTACTACAACCCATTATTTTTACACAAGTTAGAACAGTTTTAGTGCTATTAAGTAACAGCTGTGGCAATCAAGGAAATGGAAGCACCTGGTCTGAAAAGCACCCTTGAACTATCAAAAATTTGCCAAGAAGCTCATTTTAAGAAACCTGAGTTTCTAATTTTAATTACAAACACAAACTTCATGTTTCCCAGAAACATCAACCTTTAAATACTGAAGTACAAACTAAAATACAAACAAATCAAAGCTACATGAAAAAAAACTAAAAAAAAACTAAAAAAAAAAAAACTAAAAAAAAAAAAAGGAATGCAACCTAATTATTTTTTCAAAGGCAGAACAAAGCCAGTCTCACAAGACAAACATTCAACGCTGTTACTTGAAGACTGACATGGAACACTGCAAGTGGCTCAGTGGAGGCTCCTCAGCATAACCAGAATATTTGTCCTGAAACATTTAATATCAAATAGGGTTCTATTTACCTACTGACAAAAAAAAAACAGTGACTATCAAGGGACATTTTTGAACACTACTGTTTAATTCCCATTTTAGATCAGCCTCCACTGAAGCAGCTTGTGGATAATGTTTCTTCTTTTATATTGCATGTAATTTACTAGCTAACACACATGCAAAAGTTATTAAAGTCGGATTATTCTCTTACCATGTCCACTCCAACAACGTATCCTAAACTTTCGTTTCCTGGTAAGACATCACAGAATATAACTGTCCCATACTCTATACTCTCTCCTATCTTCAGAGAAACCCTGGAGTTGATCTCCAGAGGAGGAAGTTCTACCTGCATTGCGTCAACTGGAGCTGCATAGTCACTTTCCATTTCATTGTCATCTTCTTCCATCAGCTCCAGTTTGTCCAAAGCAACAAAAACCCCACAATCCTCATCACATCTGAAAAGCTGCTTGCCTTGGTACTGTCCATCAGTAAAGCCCTGGCCACGGCCTTCTTCCTAAGTATCAGAGGGAGAAGAAGAAGAAGAAAAAAAAAAAAAAAAAAAAGTGTGTTTTGTGCCAATGCAGGCTACTTCAAAAACAGTAACAAAACCCATTGATCTGGAGAAGCCACAGTATGAATTAGCCTGATGAACTATCATTACACTGGGAAAAGAAGTCAGAATTTGCAACAAATATATACACCGTCTACTCAAAGGGATTAAATGGCAAAAAGCTTTTTACTTGGCAAAGAATGTATTCTTCATCTGCAGATTTTGCTTCTATTATCAAACTTTCACCAGATCAGGGCGAGACTACTTCATACTGGACACAAATGTTAAGAAATCAAATGAAGAGAGAGAGTTTTCATACGTGCTCAGGCCTGACATTCCCTGAGGTTCTTACTAGCAATTGCAAAGAGCGTGGAAAAAGTTCAACTTTGAAAAATATATTCCTAGAGCAAGAGTAGCACTCTCCTCAATCGAATCCTTCAATGTCTCATCGTACTGCAGCACAGTAATACCTCTGACTGAAGCACACAACAGCAATACTCTCTCTCTTGACTAGCTGCAATTTGAATTTTTGTGCTCTGCAAGAGAACTAAAAATCTAAATCTGCACTACAGACTGTATCTTGGCACTGCTGCCATACACAGAAAACCAAGGTACTCAACAGAAATCTGAGAGTCAGAAATTTACCTTGATAGAAATGTAAGTTATTAACTCTTTCTAGACTAGAAGAGTCAGAATATGTCCAAGTCTTCTTGCTAGCTCCTGTGTCTTCATTAGATGCATAGCATACAAGGCTGATGTGACATAGTGTGATCTCACAGGTCACATATATTTGATACACAGCTCATATTTATGATTTTTATGAAAAGACTGAAGATCACAAAACTGGGGGGTTTGTGTGAAGGGGTAACAAAGCTGCTAGATTGTTATAATTGTCTCTTTAAAAAGCGTTTTCAGTTCATCTTACAAAATACATACGATGCTCACCCTTAGCAAAGAACTTACCAGCAGTTCTACACCAAAATATATCCCTGTTAGGGACCTTTCCTGCAACAAGGGTCCTCTGAAACGAACAACTCCAGGAAACTTCTCTTCTCCCGACCTAAGCTGTACTCTAACAGGTGAGCCAATATCTATTTGGATGCCTTTAGTTAACCTGCTTTTGCTTTTAAACAAGCTGTACCTTTCCTCACAGTTAGTAATTGCCAAAAGCAGTTCAGCTAGCTTTTCATTGATTTCGATAACATCCTTCTCATCCACAAAAAGAATTGCATGAGGTTGTTCCAGAATCTTTAATCCAATCTGTAGTTTCTTGCCTTTACAAGGAATATTTCTGGAGTGTCCCATGGAAGAACGGTCTTGAAAAAACTGCCCGATGCTACCCTTGGGCACCTTCAATAGCTTCTGAGTCTGCTTGTCTATGACACTGCATTCTTGGAGAAGCAAGTAAAAGATGCGCTCTTCCCAATAGGATGAACTTCCTTTTTCTTGACTCCATAACCCTGAACTCATTGTGATTGAAACTTCAGAAGCTGCACAGAAGATTTCAAGGAAAAAAAAATAAAGCTGTTGATATACATGTACTGATCTTGAAAAATTCTACTGGAAGGTCCACGCTTTGTGAAACGATTCAGTTTTCATATTGCAAAGAACCAAATCCAGAGCAGAAGGCCTAGGAAAAACAGAAAGAAAGGCAAACTTAAGCTGGGGAAATGCTGCTAGTCTTAAGTAAAAGAACAGAAAATCATTTACATCTGTGACCACAACCACTCCTCCAACAGAGCAAAAACACTTCAGCAAAATCCAAGGCAGCAAAAACAGTCCCTGAACAGCCACAGCTCCACTGACCACACACATACTTGTGCTTGTTAATGCTATGCATTTCCTTCCCTTGTTTCCCTGAAGGGGTTATGGAAAAAGTGTACTGAAATGCAGGAACCACTCAAGTGAAAGGATAAAAAAATCTCAATTTCAAACGAACTGGAAAAGACATCCTCACAAATGTTATTTTGTGGAAGCTTCCTGCTCGGAAGACCTTTCCTCGTGCTCAGTGACTACTTACTTCTGACAAAGTGCACATCTGTCATCTCAGATAACATTTTGTTTTAGCAAAGTAGAAAATTGTGTCAATGTAAGAGATGAACAGAAAATGGAAATCCTACCCCTCTGCAACAGTCGTTTCTTTAAGCAACAGAGATGGGCAGTTACAGTAAGCAATAAACAATGCATGAAAGCCAAATTGCGTCAGTGCTGAAACGTTCCATTATGTAGAAAAATTTAGCAGCTTGCTTTATCATTTGAGAAAGGAATTCACTTCAAAGTAGGAAATTTATCACTTAATGAAGCAGTCTGGATGCAAACACCTTTGTTAAATACTATCCTAAGAATTATAGTTCACAATCAATGAATTTAACAGTATCTTAAAATATTTCATTGCTCAATACAATTAACATACATACATAGGTTGCTCCAAAAGTAATGCCTCTTCTTCATTTTCTCAGAGACTACAGCAGATACAGAGAGCAAAGTAACACTACCTGATAAAGCAAATTCTCAGCTACAAAATACTATCTTTCAGCACAGACACAACCATTCACTATGCATTTTCACAGTGATGAACAAGAGCCTGCATGCCACACACAAAGAAGTCTGCACCAGCAGAGGTGACCACTGTTTCACAGCTGCTATAATGGCACAGCTGCTAGGAAAGCGATTGCCCACACACAGATCTTTCATCAGCCCAAACAGATGGAAGTCCTAACACTCCAAATCCAGGCTATACAATGAGTTTGGCAGGACAGTCCAGTTAAGGCTGGCAATGTGCTCCACAGCCTTCTAACTGTATAGGTCCTGGTGTTACTGTGTTGCAAGAGAAAGATTATCTTTTTCTCTGGCCTTACTATCACAATGTAACAGTCAGAGTTAATGGCATGTCAGGGTTCCAGAAGGACTGTCCCTTTCCTATCCCAGAAGACAGTACACATCACTTTACCCACCCAGGGCTCCATCTTGAATTGATTCTTCAATGGGGAATTCACATATGGCCACTCTATGGACTGCTGTTCTGACTCTGGCTCACACTGGAGACATCAGATCAGCAGTAATGATGTGAACCAGGGAACTGTTTGGGTTCAGTAGGTCCTGACAAACTTGCACTCAGGGTTCTTTCTCTTTCTGTGTATTTGTGGGACCTGCCTGGTGCAAACTCTGTGATATCCCAAAACTGCCACCGTTGTTTCCAACACACTGATACTCAGTGCTGATACTCAGCTCGATACACAGTTCTCTGGAGGTAATCCACCCGTTTGCACAGATGAGCTGGTTGAGATGCTCTTCATTTGATGGTGTGACAGCTTTGTGTGGCCATCAACACCACAGCTGGTCTTTCACATTACAGTCACTACTGCTGAAACGCACGATCCACCACCTCACTCTGCTCACATCCACTGTCTGCTCACCACAGACGTTCAGCAAGCCTCAGTGGGCGCCATTTTCTCCACACAAAGAATTCAATGATACCTCTTTGCTTCACCCACACTTTTATGTCAGACACCAGTTGTCAGGGTGTCCCTCTGCTGCCATCTGTCACACAGCAACAAAATGTAATGGAATATTGGTGGGAAGGCTCAACCTCTACTGCCATCCCAACAATATGTGCCTCTGACATAATGGGCCAATGTAATAAAATAGAAGGCATTATTTTTGGAGTAGCCCTCATACATAGATGTTACACATTATATTGGATACATGAAGGAGAATCTTCAATAGCTTAACAGGAACTGTTTTTTTGCTGAAGAGCAAGAAGGGTCCCATACAAGTAAAGAAAATACCTTCACATAAATTGCCATGTGACCACTCTGTGGTGCCAAAGCCAGTTTGCATTTAGTTAAAGGTGAAGTTTAACTTCAGTATATAAAAAGCAAATATGCTTTGTCATAACACTTCTTGCTATTCTCTTCCTCCGAGTCTTTTCTCCAATGGCATTTAAGTTATCACAAGATCTATTGTTACTTCCCCTACTCAGTCTGATCTCAGCTCTAAAAACAATCAGAAAAACTCTACAATTAATTATTTTCAACACACTTAAAGAAAGTTTTAAACTTTTTCACATGAAGGAAAATAACAGCCAAGGAGCAGTTTAACTGTAAGCAATGTTTACTGGAAATTCACACATCCTATGCTGCCCTGCTAAGGCTCCAAGCAAGGCACTGCCCAGCAGAGCCATGCCAGCTCTCTTTTCATCTCCAAGATATTACACACAGGTGCCAGTCACTGCCACACTTTGACACAGCTGCTGTAGTACCTTAGAGGAAGTTATGCATTTTTCAGGTGTTTTCATTTTCAAAATTACTTAACTCCCTTTCTCACAGTCCTTCCACGCAGTTCATCAATGCCCAGCATGATGCAACTATCTGATACTGCAAGGATCCAAGTCCTCCTTTCACTCTCAGTAACCATAACACTAAGTGTGGACATAATAACGTATTAAGAGAAGCCTGCTCAAGAGCTTAAGAAGAGAAGCAAGGAGCACATCAGGAAAGCTTTGTTTGCAGCTACCAACCCCCTAATTCTACCCCGCGTGCAGGTCCGCTGCAGTGTTATGTAATCTTAAGGCACTTAGTGGCAAAGAATTCAGTGAGAAAACACATCAATAGCTGCAATCAGATTTCAAAATAACTTTACACCGTGCACAGTCAGCCTTTGGAAGTCCTGCCATCCACAGGGGTGGCACAAAGCCACTAAATAAAGCGCTAACAACTTTTCCGCGATGACAAAGTTCATTACCAGCGTGTTACCACTACACAAAAACGTCTCTAAAAACTTATTTACCGCTTTCCCACTCCAAACGCGCCGTTCCATAACAACAGAACGCACAGATAAGCATTCCCAGGGCACAGCAAAGCCAGCTGAGAAGCACAGTGCCAGGAGCGATTATAACAAAGCTGATGAGGACAGCAGGTGCCGGCAGCGGCTGCAGGCAGCGCTCACACCGCGTGCGAGGAAAGAATGAAGAAGCTCCTTCAAAATATCGGTTAAAATACCCCCTGACGTCAGTAAATCCACCGTTTCCAAAAGCTAAACGCGGTTCGAGGTTCCGTTCTGACACAGGCGCTCCGCCCAGGAGGAAGAACGAGCCCAGCCGGTAACCGGCGGAAAGCCCCGGCGCCGCTGCCTTCAAGGCCGCCCCTCCCACCCACACCCGGCAGCGCCGCCGCGGCTCCACGGCGCGGCCCCAACCGCGCTCCGCCCTACCGGCCGCGGCACAGAGCCGAGGGCTCGGCCCGCTGCCCGCCCCCAGGCCCGGGCCGGGCGAGGCGGCCTCGAAGCGCTCCGTGGGCCGCGGGAAGGGCCCGAGGGCGGACGCTGCGCCGCGGGGAGCGCTCGAGCGGAGCGGCCGGGCCCCGGCGAGGGCCGCCCCTACCTGACGGCGCCTGACGGCGCCTGAGGGCGCCCGACGACGCGCGCCGCCGCGCCCGGCCCCCGCCCGCGCGCCTCCTCACCTGCTCGTCCCCGCCTCACGGCCCCATCCTCGACGCGCCGCACCTCCGCCACCGAAACGCAGCCTGCCGCTCCGCCGGGCCCGCCCCCCGGAGCAGCCAATCAGGGAGCGGCGGCACGGCCGCTTCGCGACGTCATTGGCGGAGAGCGCCGCCCGGTGACGGGACGGGTCGAGATTTTTACATAGTCAAGATTGTGTGAGCCGCAGAGGAAGGCTCGGGGTGGAGAGGAAGAGGCGGTCGGCCCTCGTGAGGGCGCCGATTGGCTGCGCGGGGAGCTGATTGGGTGACGCCCGTGCTCGCCGCCTGCCCATTGGCGGCGCGGCAGGCCGGACGCGTGAGCCGTGGCCGTTTCTCTCGCGATGGTGGCGCGCGCGGCTGCCAGGTGCATTAAGCAGCGCTGCACGCGGGGCTTAGCAAAGCCAGCTGCAGCTCGTCCGCAGCCGAGCGTCTGAGCGCGCCGTCACCCGAGCGCGGCTGTGCCGAGTCCGCCGTGCTGAGCCCGGCCGGCGGCGCTCGGGGCGAGCAGTCCTGCAGGAGCGAGCGGGCGCCGAGCCCCGTCCCGCCGCACTGCCCGCGGCTCCCGGCACGGCTGCTGCCCGCACGGGTCGGCGGTGTGGGCGCCGAACGGCAGGATTCCCTCTCAGCGTTGCTTAATTTATAAACGGTAAACAGCAGAGAAAGTACAGTAAGATTTAAGGCTCCTTCCCTTAGCAGCGAAGCGGGCTATGCTGCGCTAAGCCTCCAGGTGGCTATCTCTAGCCGCCGTTTACACCGCGCCTACAAGCGCCCGTGTGTGCTGAAATCCCGTCATCCCAAAGGCTGTCATGTCCACGTTCGGCTATCAATACACCACACGTGGAACGCGATGTAAGCACTAACGCCGTGCCGGCAAAAAAGCCGACAGACACGTTGGAAGAATTAGATAACAAAATACGAGCCAGGAATGACTCTGCACGGCACGTCTAGCAGCTGAAAAGCAAATATTTCAAAATGCTTATCTAGTCCATGCAATTACGTGCTTATGTGATTACGCACAGTGTTATCAGCAGGGAAAACGACCAAGCGCACACACCGTTTCAAAGCCCGTCGTCGTGCGCAGAGCGGCGCCCTGACGTAACCCACGTTAACAGCCCATGTTTAACATCCGCAGAGCCGCCGGCGAGCGCTGCAGCTCCGTGCCACTGACAGAGCACAGCCGGAAGGCAGCCCTGTTACTTCACTCTGCAGCTCCTTGGTACCGCTTTAGAAGTATAAAGGAGCTGTGAGGTGATAGCAGGACTTTGGCAGCGTAAAATGGGCCCGTCGCGTCTCTTTCATGTTACAAACCCTGTCTGTAACGCCATATATGTCATAAACCAATATACTGCCAACACAATCTATTTGCCATTAAGCAGCACAATGTTTTTTTTAAAACTGCGCTCCTGATAAAACGTTCTGTAATAATGAAGGATGGTAAACAAATTCCGCTTTCAGAAGACACACCAGCATACAATTAAACATTATATAAGTATCATGGAACAGTATTTTGTGCTGTGCCAGGACAGTAGTAGTGTGCTATACATTTATCAGTACCAAAAGTGCTGAATAGTCGTGCAGAACAAATGATTATTTCCACTTCAAACACGGAAACTGAAAGTATGCAGCTGCAGTAAAAGAAAAAAGAGAGGAAAAGTTCCTGCAGAAGCATCAAAGTCAACATCACAGCACTTTCTAAATATTAGTTGTACGGTAGAAGAGGACTTGGACAAATATGTTGGGTATTTCTGCCCCCTCTCGGTATTTTTCATTACCTGCAGTTCTAATGAATGATTTGGTAAAATAAATAAGGATTAGTTACATAGCTTGGAGCCTGAGAGCAGAAAGCAGCACAAGCCCTAGGAGGTCATCTGAAGCTGTATTTCACAGGGCTGGAGCTGAAGAGGTTTTATAATTGGGTATTACAGCGATAATCTTTAACTCAAATAGGAGTTGCAATGCCTGCTATAACAGGAGAAACCTGGCAGTAAACTGCAGTTCCTATGTAACACTGGTTTATCTCATCATTTTTCAAGCTAATATGAGTTTTAAATATTTTCTCTGTTGGGGTTTTTGTAACTATGAGATTGGGAAAACGTTAGCTGCCCAAATCAAGGCACATTATTTAACACTGTTGTAGCAGTCCCTTCTGATTCTTTAACCACCAAAAGCATGAACATTGGTCTTTCCCTAAAGGCATCCTTAACATGACATCACAAGGTTAGCTCATCTGGTGGCTAATTAACCAGTTCTTCCTAAAATGAATCCTTTCCTCTTAAATATGTATGGAGGACATAACTCCTACGACAACCACTTCTATGAACTGCAGTATTACAGCTTTAACCTTGCCTAGCTCCTATGCTACTCCAGAACATTTTTTCCATATCCCTCAGTAAATGCATTTAATACTGTGCTCTTTATGTATGCCAAACAAAGCCAGTGCTTGTGCAGAATATAAACTCTGAGTAAGCCAGTGCATAAGCATCCTTTTTTCACCACTGAATGTGACAGAGCACATTTTTTTCATTAAAATTTACCATTGTTTTATGAATAGTCAGATCAATTTAGAGCGTAAGAGCACTTGGTCATCTCAGAATGGTATGCTGCTCCTGTGAACATTCTCCTTTGCTGCTGCTTAATCCTTTATATTTGATTGCTGAAAGTGAAACTGAAAGTACAGAGAAAGAGCTATCAGTTATACAGTAGGGTTTGCTAGCAGAGTGCATAATGCAGATTTTTTTTTTTTTTTTTTGAGTGTGTTAATCAAGCAGACATTCAGAAAAGTAAAACACTGCTAGACAAACAACAGTTGGTCCCATTGAAGGGCTAAGGGTTGCCTGGAACAAGCCAGAGAGTATGGGAGCAGCAGCCAGGTAACATGGATGTCACAGCTGACAGTGATCACAGGGTTAGCAGTGGTCCTGGGGATGCTTCCTATCCACCCTTCAGGAACCAGCTGTAAGCAGAACAGCTGATGCTGCCAAGGCAGGCAAAATTCCTGCAGAATACCCTTGATTTGTAAGCTATTTCATATCACTCAGTCATGCTCACAATTGCAGATTTCACATCTTTTTAATCATCCAGGATAATTAGACTAGGAAGTACTCACTACTTAATTAAACATAAAGGTCATTATTAATAAACTGAAAAATATACTTTCTCCTTTTCCTTCGGTTTCATCAAGACGAAGACAAGAGCATGAAGCACCACAAAGTAATACACTGTTTTCTGGCAACACATAAAGTAACAAATTCAGAATCCAAAGCTCAGATACGCCTGTGAACTGTCAGCATGAGTGAAATGCACCAAAATCCTCCTTGGATTTCATTCACAATTGTAACCAAACCCGTAAATCTAACTTTAAAGGAATGAGACTTGAGCCAGAAACCCATGCCTTGACTACACTTAAAAGCGTTGGCTGGTACAGCTACACCTTAGAGCTGTATTGGCAAGCACACATTTCTTTTCTGCTATAATTTAAATCACTTTCCGCATGGATCACATTAAATGGGCTGAAGGACTCTGCCAGTCCTTCACAGTAAGGGTTTTGCCAGTATGGCTGGAGTTGCATAGGAACGATTTTTCATCGTTCTGACAGCTATTTTGGCAAAATGTCTACATTTAGACAGAGTCCAAGTTAAAGTTGGCATTGTTTTATGTTGTGAATAAAGCTGAAGAGAGACATTGTCAGTTTCTGGCCCTGATCTTACATTATTTGAAATTGTTTGTTCTAAAGGAATGTGTGGGGCAGGATCCATGTGGTTCTTTGGATGTTTGCCTCCCACATTTGTGCTGCATTAAAATCTCTTGGTTTTTCATTGAGTGAGCTTTGGCAACAGGGAAACTTACATTACTAAAGACATAGCATCCACACTACTTACCCCAGAAATAGCGATCTCAGTGCTTTAAAGCAAATTTCCAAAGCAAAGTGAACTACAATAGGAAGCATCTTGGCCAGTGGATGTGTGGATTAACGCATCGTTCTTCGCTTTGTCCTCAGCTCAACAAAGAACTGAAGTACAGGATTAATTTTAGGCACACACAAGTTCATTTCAAGTTTAGTAGTCACGTCAAATATGATAATGTTCCTTTTTGAACTTCAATTAAGCAGATATTTGAAATTAATCATATGTTTAAGCACTGTGTGGAATCAGGATTTCTGTCAGAAGTGCCATTTTACATCGAACAAGGCTATTTATTGTGGTACCATCTGCATGTTCTTTCCTGAACTGGATGTTAAGTCTCTACTTTAAAGATGTCCTACAGGGCATATTTTTCCACATAAGTGCATTTACATAATTGACTCATTTTTCCTAATCTCTTATTTTCTAAGCGTGGGGTTTTTTGGTTTCAGAGATCCATGCGGACACGTTTTCATTGATTTTGTAATTGCACTGACTGTTCAGCACTTTCCTCTGCCACCCTTTATGTTTGCACGTGTAGGACCAACTGGGGTTTGCAGCCCTGCCCTTGTGGCTAGAGCTGCATTGCTGCATCTTGTCTGCAGACAGCAGCTGAGCTGTTTGAGGCAGATAGGAAACTCAATGCGCCAAAACAGCAAGCCAATTGGATGAGGAAGTCTGATTTAATCAAGACTTCTTCCTTCCTTTCTGTAACATACAGAATGTGCCTGCTCAAAGCACACACACACGTATTTTTCTGGTTTTAAAAATGCAAAGCAGGCCTCTCCTGACTTCCTATGGACTACACATGCACCACAGCTAAAACCTCCTCGGCGTTCCCCAGGTGAGCATTCTGTGCACTTCTGCTGTTACTCGGAACTCAATTTGAGCGGTGTTTACTCTGACAGAGAGCAGGCCTGGAGTCTGGTCAGAGTAAAACTGTAATTTGCTGCAGGCTTCCTTGTATTGTTTTCCATTTTTATTTCTTTTTTTTTTTTTTTTCCAAGTGTAAAAATAGTTGTTTAGCTAAAACTGCTTACGGTGATTGTAGGTGTGAAAGTGAAACAAAATGTTTCTGTGAAGTATAAATAGTTTTCAAGGCAGATATGTGAAGTCTTGCATATCACTGCATTTCTCTGAGAAATCATATTTTACACTTATGTTTATACATGTATGCATACACATATATGTATATTTAATGTTAAATACATATGTAAATATGTACATTTGCTTGTCAGGTTAGACAAACTCGCAAGCAAGAAAATTTGTCTCATTAAATCTGGTGCATCTCAGATTATACTTATGTGAAAAACAAAGATTGGAAAGTTTATACTCTTGGTATATACTGTCACAACTATCCAGAGGGCTAAGCAGCTGGAAATAACTGGCTACTCATCAAGTTCAGAGAGACTTCATCCCCTAGTCCAAATTCCAAAAATAAGGGCTTTCACAATTCTCTTAATAACGAGAGTAACAATGTGTACGTTCTTGTATAGCCAAGGCAAGCAAAAGAAAGGCTATTGTTAGAGGAAAGCACTTCTGTTATTTCCAGTGGGGAAAGTAATTGCTTTTCCTTGTATAGTTTACCAGAAATCAATAGGTCTGCTGAAGGAGTTTCCTCACCTCTGCGTCAGGCATTGCTCAACTGTGTGGAAGACAAGTGGTGGCAAAACGATATGTAGTAACACCTCTGTCTGCCTTGCTTAATAGCCTCTCCTTGTGCATTGTTTTTACATTTCTAGCAAGGAAACTCGGATTCGTTTAGAGCAGGTTTTCATGTTATTTGATTTCCACCCACTGGATAAACTATGAAGAATATCTCCCTCATACTAACTAAGCAAGCACAGCCCCCTGGCAGAGCTGTTAGGATGCTCTTAAAACATTCTCAACTGCTAATAGAACACAACAATGTTTTAAATAGTTACTTAACAACTACATCTTAAGGAGACATTTGCATGGCAGAATAACCAGTCCACTCTACAGAGTAGGAGTATATTTTGTTAAGCATTTTATGTGTATCTGGCAAAACATCTATCCAAGGAGGACAGACCCACAAACCTATCAGCAGCACAGCGTATGGACTAGAAGAGTAAGTAACAAGAAAACACAGTGCATAGTAATTAGAAAACTCTGATCACCTTTCACCTAGGCATTATCACGCTCATTTTGTTCTCAACATACAGTGACAAATCTCTGGAGAGTATCTGAAACTTTGAAATAAAGCAAAAACATTATACTGTTACAGATATCACTTTATTTTGCCTTATGGGCCAACATAATGATTAAGAACAGATGGCAAGTTTGGGAGTCTTTAGAACAGTAACTCCTAGCAATGTAAGAGAACCAGGCTGCTAGTGATGCTAATAATCTCAGAAATCTGAGTTCATCTGAACTAACACTTGTGAGGTTGAGGGCAAAATACAAGAAGAATAAATCACCCCCCACTGAAGTTATGTTCTTCAGTGGTTCCCTTTACTTTCCATGAAACAACAGTTGCCCTCATACATGTTCACAGGGAGCAACAAGCAAGCCAGCAAAAAAGATTACCAGACTGGGTCTTCTAAAGGCATGTCACTAAGTAATGTCACATTTTTTTATAATCTTTTCTGACAGCTTTGCAATGGAGCAGGACCCAGAGTGCACAGCAGAAAGGGAGCTGTTGGAAGCTGCAAGCACGATTGCTACGTTTGCTATCACAGCTCCTCCTGATGAAGAACAGAGTCAACCCAAAGCTGAAATTTCTTGTGAACTGAGCAAAGATAATCCAGAAAAAGACAACCTCCAAGGTAGATACCATTCGTTCATTTTATTCTTCACATAGCTATTAATCCTTTATATATTAAAAAAAAAAAAAGCTTTATTTAGTACAATAGTAAATTAGTATCAGCAAGGACACCAGGCTAACTGATACTAACTGGAGGCAGTAGTTTCTCACACACCATGTGAAGAAGCAGCACTGGGCTTTTACTGTGCCTAACATTACTGTCAGATGTTATTGAATAAAAAGTTAAATATAAACGTAACATATACAATTTCATCAAGATTTTCAGCCTGTAAAACTGTCATAAACAGCACCTCTCTCTAATAAATTATGCTTTGTAGAGTGAGCCAAACCCCAAAGGCACTGATAATTGAAACTGTATGACCAAACGATTAACAACATGTAAAAATGGGGCCGCTGAGGAAGTACTACAGCGCCTTTATGTTTCTATCTCTGCATCAAGCACTTATCCTCCCACTCATCTGTGGTCATTCACTTCCATTGTCTGAATGCTGGATAAGACTTCAGCTGACTGCATTGACAGAGACATTGCTGACAGAAGACCGACAATGCTATGCCCATTGAAATAAAAATACTCCATTTCTTTTATCCACTTTGCTAGCCTGTATGCCACCTCATGAAAACTGTTGTCACCATATTTCAAAGACAGCTTTCCAAAAGGGTGATTCTTCTATGTCAAATTCCCCCGTGAGCAAACGCTTCAACCAGCTGACCTACATTTTTAGGGGACTTTTTGCGTGATTGTGACTGTATGTGGGTGGTGAGGGAGGTGCACAAGTAAATATCACTGTGGCATCACTTCAGCTACAAAAGAAAAGGAGGATGTGAGAATTCCTCCTTCAGCTGAGCTGGTTACTTGAGTTTCTCCTTTAATCATAGAACGGCCTGGAAAAGGACCACGATGATCATTCAACCCTCCTGCTATGTGCAGGATTGCCAACCACCAGACCAGGCTGCCCAGAGCCACATCCAGCCTGGTCTCAAATGCCTCCAGGGATGGGCATCCATAACCTCCTTGGGCAACCTGTTCCAGTGCCTCACCACCCTCTGTGTGAAAAACTTCCTCCTAATATCAAACCTAAACCTCCCCTATCTCAGTTTAAGACCATTCCCCCTTGTCCTATCACTGTCCACCCTCTTCATGCTTTCTCAGCTTTAACCTGTTACCACGCAGTCCCAGTATTTGAATACAGTTAGTATTTCAATACAAGTCTGAATTCGCATCTGCTTTGTATTATCTCCTCATCTTAGCAATGATAGAAACATCTTAGCCTTATCTCCTCCCATCCTGGAGAAGAACCTGACTCAGAAGAGCAAGTCAGGGTTTGGTAGGGCTGCTTGTAGGATGGAGAGGTGTACCTCCTGCTCAGACTGTGCCCGAGGTTACAACCTGGACATACAACACTTATCAATGCTTTTCCATAATAACAAATGTATTTGTTGCAGCAAATTTATTGTCTTTCCAATTCCAGAGCACTACAGTTTTCCTCAGAGAATCTGAGCCGTCTTTGTTAGCAGAGAAATCATTTAATCTATCAGGCTTTAGGTTTCGCTTTTACAATGAAGAAATTCTAAGCTCCACTTTCACAATAAATGTGTAAAAGGTTTCTTTCCACATACAAAGATTATAATTTGAAATACTGAATATGTCCTTTTTAGATTCCAAAGCATCCCTAAGTCCCAACTCTTCAATGACCACTAAGGAGCTTCAGGAATACTGGAGGAATGAAAAAAGCCAGTGCAGACAGGTCAAACTCCTTTTTGAAATTCCATCAGCCAGAATTGTAGAGCACCAATGGTCTAAATACGTGGTAAGTGAAAAAATGAATATGTAAGAAGATCATTAATTTTTATTCGCTCTACAGGGATCTGCATAGCACACAGCATGCTTCGCTACATGAAAGACTCACTGACGCCTGAGTTTTGCAAGCCGTGATCATACCGAGTAGAACCTGTTCTCACTGCTCACATAGGCATAGCTGGTGGAATTTGCCCCTAAGAAACCCTCTGACAATTGCTTCACAAGACCTGCAGCAGTAGAGAAGCGATATCAAGCAAATTAGTACTCAAATACCCTTTACACCTAGAGGCTTGTCAACATTAAAGAAATTCATACAAGTATAAAAATATCAGTGAGGTTACACTTGCACTGAGCCAGGCTGCACTAACAGCTGCATTATATTTATATAACTTCCACATTGAAGATTTATGTTAGCACAAGTGCAAAATTCTTTGTTGTTGACAAAGCTTAAGACACCCACCAGCTAGCACTCTTCTGGGACTGTTCCCCTTCCCTACCTAGAGGTCCATTAAATGACATCTTTCTATTCCATTTTAAAGTGAAGCATGAGTATGAGGGCCAGGTTGGATTTCTGGTATCTTTTCTCAAAGCACTGAGACTTGTTTTTTTCTAACTCTACTCCTGGACTTTTGGAGAACTGAGCTAGAGCAAGTCTCTTTCAGTCTCTTTCAGCATCAGCCTGGTAGGTGATGCTCAGAAAGGAATGTTTTGCAGCAGCCTCTAGGATCTATAGATTAAAAATGCTAATAGTCATTCTGCTGATGCAGCTCGGAATTTAAAGCAGGTACATTTACAGTCTAGAATCCTAAGATCTTGTTGCATACTATACACACCTATTTAGATGCTACTGTCTTGCACACACTGGAGAGTATCCAGCTTACTGAATAATTAAAAAATATTTTAGTGCAGCTGTAAGAGGACAAGGTTCTCACTTGGTGTTCATGTAGGCAGTTAAACACAGCTACGTTACAACAAAATTGAGCCAATCTGAATGACAGTTTAATTAAACGGATTTTCTCCCTTTTCTCATGCTCCATAAAGACAAAAAAAAAAAAAAAAAAATCAAGTACTTGTAAATTATTCACTTAGCTGCCCTTGATAAAATGATAACTTTAAAAACTGCTCATATGATTGCTTTGGATATGCTTCAAGAGTATATACAATTTTCAGCAGGGAGCAGGGCAAAATACAGGAAAATGTCACAGTGCCTACAAATGAAAAGAGATCAGAGAAGTCGGCTCAAATTTACAAATGTTTCAAGAAGTGCCTGTAAAGATCATTTACGAAGATTAAAACAGAGAATTTCTCTTTAAGGAAAAAAAAATCAAGGAATAGAATCAGAAAGAAACCATTGCTAGTATAGTTTTGCACCCTTCTAACCAGCACAGAAAACAATTCTTGTGCATTAAACTGCTCCAGTTGCTGTGTAATTCAGTGAGAATGGGAGAAAGTTGAACGTGAACATGGTCATCATCCAAAAGCCAGCAAGCCAACAGTCCTTGCCCTTGGCTGGTGCACAGGGACACAGCTAAACCGGCCCCCTGAAGCTCCACTGGTTTATGCATACCAGATATTTGGCCCTTCTTCAACATTACTGTATTTGGATCAGGACCAAAGGAGAATATATTTGTACAACACATAACACTCAATGTTATTTTGAATATCACATTCAGTAGTTACTTTTACACTAGTGAAGAACTACAGAAGCCATACAACTGAGTACTGGTTTTGTGGGATGGTGCTGCTGTTAGAGAAGAGTTTTGGCTAGCACACACAGACTTTTGTAGAAGTGTCACTTCTTTGAATTATTTATATGCCAAGTAAATATGAATTACAGGACAAAGATTTAGAGGGGAAAAGAGATTCCAGAGTTGCTCCATCTTATTTTTGCATACACCAAATATTAATGCCAAATATTCCTTCTTTCACAGCACCAATAATGCCTCCAGATCCCTAGAAATGTCTGATACGAACATTTCTGAGTATTATGGCCAATGTAAACTACACTGCATTCACTATTAAGTCTGGGAAACTCATTCTGTTCACTGACAATGACTGCAGCAGCCACGGCTGTTACAAACAAAGTATTTGTACAGAAAGATGTGGCTGCACTAGGCAGCAGATAGTCCTCATTTTTCTGTTTTGTTGTGTTTAGATGTATAAAATCATCATTTTGCAAACGGGAAGCTTTGACAGCAGCAAGTCTGTAATTGAACGGCGTTATTCTGATTTTGAGAAACTGCACAAAAATCTTCTGGAGGACTTCAGTGAGGAAATGGAAGATATGACCTTTCCAAAAAAAGCCCTAACAGGGAACTTCACAGACGAAATAATCAATGAGAGAAAATTGGCCTTTAAGGACTACCTGAGGCTTCTGTATTCAATGAAATATATCAGGAGATCAAAAAAATTTATTGACTTTTTAACAAAGCCTGAGCTTCAGGAAGCATACGGCTGCCTGCGGGGCGGCCAGTACAACAAGGCTTTGGAAATCTTGTTAGAAGTCATCGGTCTGCAGGAGAGGCTGACCAGAGGCAACCCTGCTGCAACTGTTCCTACCCTCTGTGCTATCGTGGTGTGCCACAAGGACCTGGGAAACACAGCAAGTGCCTTTGAATATGGGGAAAAGGCTCTGTCACACCTGTGCATGCGTAGCAGTCACAGGTACTATATTCCATTGTTAGAAGCAATGATCACTTTGGCATATGAGCTCGGCAAGGACTTTCTGTCTTTGCAAGAGAAACTGGAAGAATGGAAGGCAAAAAAAGATCCCGTACGGGTTTTTTCCCTGAAAGAGCTTGCAGTTCGGGAATATGTAAAATGAATATAAGAAGCAATTTCACTAAAGTGCAAAGCTGCCTGCTCCTTTTCCTGAACACAATATCTTGAAAGAGTAATAACTGGAAATTACCCGTTAAGATAACATAACTTTCATAGGGAAAAAAAATATCAAGTATTTCTCAACATGCTGGGAAATTTTATATTTACTCTAGACGTAAGCTTATTAAGAATTCTGGAAATAAATTTATAACAAAAAGTTTTGTATAGTTTGCTTATTTTGATAGTATTTTGAATATAACCCATTTTGCGTCGACAGTCAGGAAAATACCATGAATAAAGCACTTGATCTGCAGAATCAACAGTATTGCTCGCTTATGGGAAAATTACTTCCTTTCAAGAAGAAAAACAACTTTTCAGTTAATGCAACCTAAAGGATGCATCTTTGGACACTGATTGTAGGCTTTTCCTCTTCCAGGTGAAGCCCAATCTGAATCCTACTGTAGTTAACGTCTCTGGAGGGAAGATCGGAGGGAAGGTTAACAATCAACCTTGACAGGAATGAGAACTACTACTGATCACTCCATCAGATGTGGCAGAAGGCCTATCCTTGTTTGAGGCAGTCTCCAAGTGCAGCTCAGATCTGAATGCAAAATTCACATCCATGCAATATACCCGTAATGGGAAGGAAGTACAGAAGGGTGCTATTGAGAACATCTGGCTAAAGAATGGCAGTATTTAATTCTGATTATTAAGCTGTGAGACACGTGGCTAATGGACAATCTATCCTAAGCATGTGCTTCTCTGTTGTCTTTCAAAGGTTTATGTAAAATGGGCATTGCCTCAGTAACTGCCCAACTGGTAACAGCTACTGTTTCAGTGGCTCTGCAATATTCCATTAATTTCTTGAGCGACCCCATCACTGTATCTGACAGCTACACTTGGCTCTAATGCTGTTGTGAAAGCTTTCTAACATCTGAAAACATCTGTATTTAGCTGCTTCACACTTCTCCTATACACTAGGAATGGTGTGGCAAACAGATTATCTTTTATAACACAGTTAACAGGTCATGCTAGCACAGTTCATTATTTTCTACAGAATGTAGTCCACTGAGTACTTCTAGGCCTGTAATCCAGATGCAAAAACCCAACTACATTGTCTGCAAATCAGAAGTAACCACATTAAGTTGCCTCCCAGATGTATAAAAGAATCAGCTAATTGAAAACGCACCGAACCTGAAAAACACTGTTGTGCATTGTTACAAGAGTAATGGCTTGGAAAAAATACAGAATAATAGAAGGGCCTAGAATGCAAAGTTTATATTTTAAGTAGTTTTGAACAGCTAGTAAACTCAAAATATGTGTATTATTTACATTATTTAACTATATTAGTATGTTTTTCTAGTTGTATCAAAAGTATGAGAATCGAGAGTAATTAAGAGATTCAAAGGCTGATCTTCCCAGAATACACCATACCAAGAGAGTTAAAATGGACCAAAGGTTCACCTTCCTATGGGATCCTGTCTGAATCAGTGACAAAGCCATGACAAAAGCAGCACGTCTGTGCCATGCCCAAGCAGCTTGGAGCTGAGGCAGGAAGGAAACACAGCCATGACTCTGCTCCACCTCCACAGCAGTTATGTGGTGAAAGACCAAAACTACAGGAAGAAATGATTTTCCCACTTTTAATGCCCACTCCCCTCTCACTGTTTGCAGAACTGCATGCTGTCCAGCTAGGGTGAGTACCAGGAAAGCAGCACATCAGAGAAATCTTGCTTAGCCTTAACGTGTGGTAATGCTGTAACTTTCCATCTCTGTAGGATTAACTGATCTATAGCTAACCAATTTTTGTTGGCATGGCAGTGAATAATGGTATTGCTTTGCCCCTTTCTATTAAGTTATGTTTTACTTATGTTTTTATTCCAATATATCATTTTCCCCATTTTACAGCCTGGGGAATTGTGGTACAAATAAGAGAAGCAATTTTCTCCAAGTCTCATTTAGTGGTCTGGAGACCACACTGCTTGTTTGGAGCAATGGCCAAGCATTACAGGCTGTACAGCTCTGCAGAACAGACACACGCCTCCATCGCATGTCCTTAAGTTCAGCTTGGATGGTCAGCAGCACAGCTTTATCCATGAGACAATTGCACACGATGTCTGTGGCAGAAATACTTGAGGAAATCTGAGTGATATATTCAAAAAAGTAATAGGTGAATAGTAAAATATTTTATCTGCTGCTTTTTAAAAGTAGCAAAAGAGAAAACCTTATGTGAGTGTTTTTAGTAATGCATATGTAGAATATAGAATATATAAAAATGTAAATAACGTAATTTTCAACAGGAAGGAACAGAAAAATATTCTCAAACGCACTTTCCAGTTTTAAGCAATTCCTAAATCTCCAGTATTTCTTTTCCCTGCTCCTGTAATCTAAACCAGAAGAAAGAAACAAGCAGTAGAGAGTATCAGAGCTGTTAGCAATCCATGATGATCAGCTTCCCCTGCCATTCAGCTGAAGCAAACAGCACACAATGCACCAGAGCTTTCCAGTACGCTCTTACAATTCTCATTGTTACTGACACTTTGCTCTGAAGTATACAGAAGATAACAATCCAAGTAGAAATTCGCATTTCTTTTTTTTTTTTTCTCTGAAAGAAAAGGTCAAAAAAAAGAAAACGTTGCCCAACATCTGGCCAGCATATTTAACAAACCACAGGCTGCATACACACAAGCCAGAATAAAATTTAAATAAAATCTGGGCAGATCATCTCCGAGAGTCCACAGAGAGTTGTACTACAATCTATTGAGCTTTGCCCCATTTCCATATCAATTATTATATCATTTGGGGCATTAAGTAGATAATGCTGTTTACACAACTTTCTAAAATAACTAAAGAAGCCCATGAGGATGCCTAGTTACTTATGAAACATATGCAGACAAGATGCTCTCTGTGCAATGCAGCATCTTGTTTACAGGGAATCCTGTGATCTTTATCACATACTTGTTATTAACTGCTGTTATCAGCAGCATCACTGGAGGATAATATTTGCTTTTCTGAATCTTAATAAGGCTAAATGCATTTACTGAATTCAACAGTTATGTACAAGCAGCATGGGAGTCCAGCTCAGGACACAAGCTGGAATCTAGAAAGGTTTTGTGGCGCAGACAGCAGCTGAGCAAATCAAATCAAGAATGTTTATTTTCTTATTAGATCAAAGGCAAGAGCTAGATGTGTTGAAAAACTAAGCATGGATGTAATGGTGTAAAACACTGAATGTCAGCTCCCATCTGGATAAGGTGAGAACCCCAAAGAACCAGCCTGGTGTTTGCGTTAAGATCACATTGCAACATATGTTCATCACACTCTGCGAGTGTGAATGTGCTGCATATACAGATACACGAGACACTAACTTCATGTCAGAGCGGTGATAGTTGAGAGTAACTACACAGAAATAAATTGTTGTAACATAACTGACAGCAGAATAAGGTCTACTGTCCATATAAACAAGCACACAAGCTCTGTATACTGTGAATGGGTGGACAGACAGATGAATCAATGAATGAATGAAGCAAACAGATTTGGGTGTTTTGATGCTTAATGGATGTTTTCCAGATGTTTTAAGAAACTCAGATAAAAGCTACTTTTACAAGGACCTCATGGTTATATATATACACACACAGTTTAAAACACACAACCTTCTTTTATCAGTAATTCACATCTGTATGTCTGTGGCTACTTGGGCAAGGAAAAATAACACAGAGAAATAGATGGCCTTCTCTGATCAACTCATTTCTCCAAACGACTGTCACCTAAATGTTTTTCATTCCAAAGAGTGCTACAGTAGACTCAGATACCCGAAACGAAGTTCCAAATAACTGTCCCGAAAACACAACTTTCAATTCTAACACTTTCCTTCAGTTTCTGAATTTCTCAATTTGCCTCCTCCCCGCCAGCTGCCTGCAGTGCCACTAGATGGAGCTGCAGCATTTGCAGGAGACAGCACCTCGCAAGCACGTGAATGAAAAATAAACTTTTTTAAAAAGCAGGAAGGATAGAACTGCTTGAAATTAAATATATTTATATATCTCAAACCTGCCGTTTACGTTCTAATATGTTTAAACTAACTATATACACGTATCAATTCCATTGTGAGCTCAGACTCCAGTGCCCAGCTCTCTAGCTGTCCTTCAGGACAATTTAACAGAGCCCTTTATCAGCCAGCTAGCTCTATGAGCTGGCTGGAAAGCTGAAAGAGAAAATGTTCTTGCAGGCTTTTAGACCTGGTGAGTTCAAAGCCAGAGTCACTGCAGCACCTCAGTTCCTACAGTACCTATTCCTTCTGATCAAAAGGAACCAAGTAAAACTCGCAACTCTTAAAAGAACTATCAAATAATGGGGGGAGGGAAGGAAAAATAAATGAACCCACAATGCCTTCTGAACAGTGCCACAAAAGCTTATTGACTCCATTTTAGGTTGCTGCACTCCCACTGGGAAAATGAGAGCTGAGCACATCTTGATTTTGACTGCTGTACGATATTTTAAAGCTCCAATAATTTATTTATATAAAAGCATGAATATACCCTAAACAGTATGTATATGTAGCAATTGGACAGATGAGTACAAGAGGAAAGGTGCTACAACAGAGGTGTGATGATGGAACAACAATAGAAAGGCACTATAAAGGAAGGGAAGAAGATTGCTCACGTGTCAGAAGATTGCAGGTTTGCAGGGGAAAGCTTCACTAAGGAAGGATCTCCAACCAGAAATCCTTCCCCAGGGGCAGTCAGCCCTTAAATGAGGTCTAACAGAGGTGCAGCCAGGCTCCACCCCTGCCGGCCACACAGCTGAACTGCCTTCACCTGTGCTCCCAGGGCTGACCCAGACCTTTCCCCAGGTGCTCAATCAGGGGTTTCAGACCATGACTCAAGTTACCATACAGCATAGAACCACAGAACCGTTTGAGTTGGAAGGGACCCTTAAAGGCCATCTAGTCCAACTCCCCTGCAATGCACAGGGACACCTACAGCTCCATCAGGTGCTCAGAGCCCCATCCAGCTTGACCCTGAGTGTCTCCAGAGATGGGGCAGCCACTGCCTCTCTGGGCAAGCTGTTCCAGTGCCTCACTATACAAACACACCTTATTTCAAGCATCATCCTCTTGCTAATAACATGGAAGGTGGAGACGCACTGACTAACCTTGGGCTGTAGTCACCACTCATCTTCATGCATGCTTTAAGTAATAAAACATTTTTGGAAGCAGCTCCTGTCTATAGGCCTACAGCTCCCCATGTTGTGCTGGGATCTTTCAGGTTGCTGGGATGGCTGGGATCTAGAGGCTGCTTTCCCCAGCATAGATGCTGGACCAGAGTTTGAAAGCAGCCCCCCTGCATCAAGGTTTTATTTCCCCAGAAAGGTTTCTTCCAAGACTACCGCTTTCAAAAGTGCTTAGGAAACAGTGTGAGGGAGTTGGGCAGTGTAGCAGCAATAAAAGGCAGGGAGGCTATGCTGAAATCTGTGGAATAATACTCTAAGGAGGTGAAATCTTTGAGGGGGGTCTTCCCTCTCATCTATTCAGCTTCTTCCAGAAATCCTGGAAGGAAAAAAAAAAGACAGAGAGAAAAAAGATGCAGTCTCCAAAGATGAGATGTAGATTTGGCTGTTTCTGTCACATCACCTTACCTCCAGGAACAGCAGCTTAATATGTGCTGAGTTAGCAGGGGGGATTTCCATGGACTCAGTAATAATATACAGTGCTTTTATAGTGCTTGCCATGTTCAGAACATTTTATATAAATACCAGGCTAGATTAATCCAGGCTTTAAATCTGCATAAACCTTGGCAGAGGGCTCTGGTGCCCATGAGATTATGAAGTCTGCCATGAAACTAAATTGTGATGATCAAAAGAAGAGATTCAAAGAAAGCAGAGCCAGGAAGAGAAGTATGTTATTTAGGAAAGACAAAGAGAGAAGAGAGATGTGGGAGGAAGCAAACAAATGGGTGGACAAGGAGTGGAGCTCAGTCACATAACAGATGGCCTCATCCTCAGAATTGACATTGGCAAACTTTGGTAAAGGAAGAACATAAGTTTATATTCATTTAATCTTCTCTGGAGAACAAAGGGTCATGAGGATTTGTAAGGTAAAACATTAATTCAGAGAGACTGACAGGAAGAAGAAGGGGATTTGGTTTACGCGCTTACATTTCTTTTTATCTTGAGGAGTTATCACAGAGGACACTTGTTTACCAGTAAACAAACAGTGGTATAAATTATGTAGTCTTCACAAGCAGCAGTGAACCCTACTGACTTGTTTCTCAATTAATACACTCCCTGTGCATCTGACTGGTCCACATAGCAACCGTAAGGAGCTTGATTTGTACTGTAACCTCAGAATGTATTTTAAATATTATATTTTAAATCTATTTAAAATTATGATTTGACATGCTGTGAGGTAATGTAATGATAGCTGACCTAATTTGCCAAATAAATCTCCTGTATAGGAAAGTAATTCATGTCCCTTTGTGAAAACGATGCGCTCTCAAACAGCCTCCATCTGCTGCCACCACCCCAAGCCCTTCAAATGCCTACGCTGAGAGGCAGATAAGGATCCTTCATCTGATCTCAGTGTGTTTTCCCTATTGCTCCCACCCTGTAGCATGCCACTGACACTAACAACAGAGAACATGAGTGAGCAGTAAATACAGCAGAAAAAACAACCAAACAGAGGAAATGCCAAAACAAAGGACATCTAATCACAGTGAGAGGAAGCACATGGAAGACCTTGTCAGCCTATTTCTGCATCAGCCCAGAGGTTGTCTTTCTGCTGGATGTGTTTATAGCTGCCATTGGCATCCCTTTCACAACGTTACCACACAGTTCAACAGACCTCACCACTCCTCCAAGAGAAATGTAACTCACCTCACTGCAAAGGTTTGGCTGTTGCAGCACAGGCTCCAGAGACATCTTAACTTCCTAATTTGCCTATGTTTCCCCAAACTCAGCTGGGATTTATTTAACGACTGCTGTAGCTTGAACGTACACTCTCTCCGTATTTTGTCTTCCTATTTCAGCAAAATTCTTGATCTCAAAAAAGCACGTGAAATCCAAAAATCTAATTTCCTCTAGTAGGCTTAACACATTGCCAGGCTCTGCAGTTTTCTTCCATAAAGGAGAAAGCGGTGACCAATCTGCTACCTTCAACTTTTTTTTTTTTTTAGAAGAAAAAAAAGATTAGAAGAAAGTCTTATAACAATGAGAAAGATGATATGTCAGTCTGCTTCTCATTAAGATCATAAGATGTGGGGAAGGATCTAACTCAGCCTTCTTCCTCAGCACATCACCTGTCTATCCTAACAACTCTAACAACTTCTGGCAACTATTTTTTTTAATTTTTTTTTTTTTTTTTTTTTTTTTTTTTTTTTTTTTTTTTTTTTTTTTTTTTTTTTTTTTACAGTGTTGAAATACCACAGTGTTTGCTCTATCTCCAAAGCCTTTGATCTGGCACAAAAAAAAAAAGTCATCTTGGATCCACTATTTGGGTTTCTCAAAACTATTTCTCTATTCCTCCCACTGTCTTCCTAGTATACGACTGAGGCCAGGTATCACAAGGAATTGTGTGGCTTTCTTGTTTGCTTATCAGAAAGAAGTGTTAGAACAGCATGTACACACATGGAGAGCTGATAACCCAGCTATATGTTATTTCACCTGCCACCTCCAGGTCACTCACAGCAGTCACAGCTCATTCTGGTCAGTATTGTGAGCAGCACATTGCACTGCTCAGAGCATCCTGTTCTAAGACTGTTATGGAGGAAAATACTACATCAGTTTCTCCTCTGTTACTCTCACATCCCTTTGCCTGTTTTAACATTGAACTGAATACATATATTTCCACCTCCTATTTACCAGTTTATTTCAAATGCATCTTTTAGGAATTTGTATGCAGTTCAAGGCTAATTTTAGCTTGATCAGAAAGTGCTCTGGGGATGCTTGCATAAAAGGTGCTATAGAAATGTACTACATTGCATCATATCAGAATCAAATTCAACATAGTTAAATATTAGCTGTGACAGTAAAGAACACTGCAGGGGCAAGGATGACAGAGTGTCTATGCTGGAAGAAAATGGTTAAATAGTTGCAGTCTTTGTATTTTTACTGCTTAAGACAAGGGCATTCAAAAGCAATTCGTATCTGATGCTTTGAGATAGGAGCTGCTCACATGCAGAAGTCAGAAAGGTACGTATAAGCAGTGGGTTAACTGAGCTCCAGCCATGCAGAAAAACACTGGTGGCTCTAGACTGCAGAACGCTCAATAGCTGTGGGGAGGAATGTATTCTTTGTCATTTCTCACTGCCCTGTTGCTAAAATGGAAGACACACAATGAGGGCAACATGCTAGGTGAGGCAATACTCAGAAAAACCTGATTTTCCCATAGAACAAAGAAGGAATGACAGACTGAGGTCAGAGTTAAGCAGTCAGGTACATGAGAATAATTGCAAGAACTGCTGCCCCTATGCAGCCTTCACAAACAGCACATTGATTCACCACAGAATGCCTCCAAAAGAAAGGGAATTCTTAAGATTTTTCAACCTTCTCCCATGAGAGTGGAGTTGGGTGTTTTTTTTTCTTTCTGACCCATTGTGCTACCATACAACCTTATTTTTATTTTCAACAATTTTCATTGAATCACAGAATTCCTTTCTGTCGTAGTTCACCCTTTAGAGATATGTTCCAACTGATCATTCTACTTAAGAACTCCTTCGCCTCTTTCTCAAACAAAAAAAAACAAAAACAAAAAAACCCTAGGATGCATGTAAAATGTAGCATCATTAACAATTCTTTAATATATACAAGCAAATCTGGCAACTTTAAATCATGTTACTTCTTTGAAACATGCCACAGACTGTCTTTTCCACTTTCTACTTAGTGAATCTTCATAGGGTTTTTAATACTCTTTCTACTTTTGCCATGATCAAAGGAATTGCTCTCCGTTTGCTTGTTCCTCTGATAAGTGATAAAAGATGTCAGTGAGACTAATGAGAACTGCCTCCAGCTTCCTTCATAAAGCCCTGTAGAAAAGAAATCACAATGCGTCGTCAAACCTGCTAGTCTTTTAGGAAATAAAGTGTGGAAAAATACCAGGCACAAAGACAACAGGGGGATGGGAGTGAGGGAGGAGGGGGGAAAAAGCTTTTAGGAATGAAACAAAGCAGGATAACGATGAGTAAGTAAAAAAATTACTCCCAAGAATAACCTGTGTTGGGGTAAATCCTGCAACAACTGCGCCCTGAAGCTGCATATAAAAACATGGAGCTTCAGTGCTCTGTGCGATGCTATTTGCTCTCTGCCACCATCACACGTGCTGAAAAGGTAACAGGGGTACTAAAACCAGAAACCAAACCCAGATTAGGCCCTTACCCTCCAGCGCTGAATGACAGTTTACATCACTTTTCAGGATCTCACAGAACAAAACACGTTTCAGGCTCGCAGTGAATGGTGCTTGCCAGCACCAGGCCCCTCCTTGCAGTGACTGTGGGCAGTTAGCCCTGCGCCCTCAGACCCCAGAAGCAGGGATGTGCTTCCATCCCCTCACACTGAAAGCAACTGCAATAAATATACAGTATCAAATGAAGGCTGTGTGTGGAGACCAGTCCTAAAACAGCAGCAGGACTTTAATTCGTCCTACAAACCTTCTAAGCAAGTTTCTCCCCCAGTTACTGTTTCTAGCCTGCTTCTGTAGATTCGCTGACCGGTATCAGATCAGCAGGGGCTGCTTGCATACATTTCCTCTAACCCAGATAATGGCCAAATGGAAATAGATCAGTATCTCGCTGAGGTAGAAAAGGCAGTCTCAGTTCTTTGAGCTGAACAGCAAACTCAAAGCTGTGTGCAGATCAAGCAGCAGACTCCTTTCCCATGCAGCCTCCTGCACCCAAAGCACACCCATGCCTTTGCCACCTCCGTGCAGACCCTGGGGAACATGCCCTTGTGTGGCAAGGCAGATGCTGGCATGCCAAAAGGCAGCGGCACTGTAATTTTCTGTGACACCTGTGCTATCACATCTGGTCAATTCAACATTAAATCCTGTTGAGCTACACCAGTGGGTTTCCCACCAAGTTCTCTGAAGGCTCAGAGCAGAACAGGCTGAGAGAGAATTGCCACCTTTAAGTCTGCACGCAGAGAACCTTGCTTTATTCTTGATTTGTTTTGCATTAATATTTCTCAGTTACTTTTCTGAAGAGAAGCTGATTATCCCAGGCTGATAGCTACTGATACTTGTTGATTTATGACCAAGGACAGCTGTACTATGTCTGTATGTATAGTTTTGTAACTATACGTGTTTATCAAAGTAACCCAAGAATGTGGGGAAAAAATCTGCAAAAATATGATCGATATTTAGAACACACACAAATTATTGCAGGTGTTCTCAAGCAGAAGACAAAGTTATCAAAGTATGTTTGACATTATTTTAATCAGTCAAATAAAAAAGGGTCTTGTAATAGTTCTATTATATCACTCAATATTTTACAACTAGTAGGTCTTACCTTACACCTCATTTCTAACCAGATGATAGAGAAAAAGAGGCACTTTGCTTTGTGTGGTTCAGATCGGAAGTGATTTGTAGCAAAATACATGAATTGTATTCTAAGGAAAAAGTTTTATATTGCTGTATTTTAGGAAAATAAGGGCAGAGTACACAGTATAGACAATAACCCCAGATTTTCCTTTTGCTGACTTTAGTCACCAAATGAAATCAAGTAAATAAGTGGAATCTACAGAGCTATTTTCTCTGCGCCACTAACGAGTGGTGATTCAGCAGCCCAACATGAAAACTCTGAGAGCACACCACGTTTTTTTGATTTTTTCTTTAAATGTTGAATGATTAAACACATCAGAATAAATTGGACTTAATGTAGGTTTAAAACTTAATTTTAAATGGTTTTACTCAAGAAAGATTTTTTTTAAGCCTGAATTAAAAATCCAATTTATTTTTTTTTAAGTCATTGATTTTTATCCATCCTGCTGTTCCTCTTCATTAAGGGAAGAATGACTCTGATGCCTCAACAGAAGAGAAAACTCTGATCTTTCTCCCGGGGCTCTATTTCCCCTTTTATACTAATATTAAATATGAAGGGTCTACAGAATCCTAAAGAAGAAGAAGAAAATGAGTTTCCAGGCTGGATAGGGGAGGGATTAAGCCAGGGATGTAGCCTAGGGGAGAGGGGAGATGCAGGAACAGACAGACCCCCCAGGGCAGCTTCTGTCTCATTACCCTCATTGGGCTGAGCCAAATGAACACCAGCCAACACCAGCCCTAATTTTGGCCTGTACCTCCAAAGTCACAACCACACAAACTCCTAAGGTTACATTCTTTTCATTAAATAGCACAATTTGTAATAAGACAAATATAATTACAAGTTTAACCACCAAAAAAAAAACCAAAACAAAACAAAAAACACAACAACAGAAGCTGGTTTTGGTTTTGATTCTGTCTGGATTACTGTTACCTTGTGAGAAAAAAAAAACAAAACAGTGTGCTAATTAGCATCACCATAAACCCATGTTTGAATTCAATTCACTTCATGATCATATTCACTGGATGACTTATCAGCTGGGGAAGATGCATGGTTCTGTGCTCATTATTTCCATCTCACAAATGCTACCCTTGCAGCTTTCCTTTGTGCAAAATACCTACAGAGAAACAGCAATCTTTATGTTCTAAACAAATCTTTTATGTTCTCACGTGCAAACTGTCCATTTCATGCATTTTAGTGAAGAATCAGCATGGTCTCCAGAACAGTGGGGCACATTTTGTGCCTTTTTTTTTTTTATTTTTATTTTTTACAAATCTCAAAGCTAAGGATCAGTTTCACATCAACCTGCCAGAAGAGCTGGAGACTCACATCAGAGTTGCAGCAGCACAAGCTGATCCAACCAGCTCCAGAGGAGAGGGATTTCTCAGAGATTCTGAAGGTGACTGCTTGTAAAGGAGTTAGCAACGACTTCGACATTTGTAGTTTCCAAAGACTTTAAACTGTTGAAATACTTTTTTTTTTTTTTTTTTTTTTTAAGAGGTCTTTTCGTCAAACTGGAAGATGGTGGAGGAAATGCTGATTCCCTTTTAGGCCACCTCAGAAGACACAAGTTTTCACTTGGTATTTAGCTCTGCTTCATTTGTCAAAGCTTTCCAGGGCATATCCAGAGAGCCTTGACACTGTCTGATGAAAATGCATGTCTGATTTTCACAGCTACACAGCAAAACTGACTGCCAGACATGCACTAGGGAAGAATCTGCAAATTAAGAAAGGGAAGGGCGATAAGAATAGTGTTCTTCAGAGAATGAAGAGAGGAGGCTACTGAAATGCATTGCTAAAATCATGCACTCAGACAGCAGAGTGCTTTCTGATGTCCAGCAGCTGACTGTGTGCTTGTCCCCTGACTTACAGCCCTTCCACATTTTGGTAATACTCTTAGCTATGGGATACAATATTCAGAAATACAGAAAAACTTCATTTCTGCAAAAAGAAAGAAACCTTCAATATCTGCAAGCCAAGATCACTTCTGTGCTGCGTGCAGGATAACCTGCAGCCAGCCCTTTGCTGGTCCTGTTCCTATCTATCAGTGCTCTGCCCCAAGGGAGCATTTTCCCTGGGAAACTGCCATGAGAGCAGCAGTCTCCTGGTTACCTTGACTATCTGCCTTCCACTGGGAAAGAAAAGCACACGAGGAACTGCAACAGAATTCTTCAAAAGGGAGATTATGCAAAAAAAGAGATGAAAGAAGAAATGAAAGAAAGAGAGGATAAAGAGAAGAGGAAAGGAAAGGAGTCAAATCTAGAGGGGTTTAAAATGATGAGGGAAGCAGGGAGGAATTCAGAAGAATTCTTTAAAAGTACTGACATAGAATTGAAATTTATCAAATGAAGTGCAAATGAAAAAAAAAAAATGAGGGCAGCTATAGGAATACCCAAAGTAAACAAAAGGAAAAAATAAGAAAATAAAGGAAAAGAACAACGTAAGATGCACACATCTTAGATACTGTAGAATGCTGGAGGGAAATCTGGAATGGCTTTCTCAAACTGCACTGTCAATCAAAAAGGTTATGTTCATCTTTGCTTGTTTTCAGCAAGAAAATCATTACTCGTTTCTTCAAAAAATATGAGCAGAAACTTCCCACTTCCTCTCAAACTGCAGGGATTTTCAATTGAAAATGAAATTTTTAAGCAAAAAGAATACTGCAGCTCCATGTCAAAATATTTTAGACAGCTCTAAGAACAACACTGACTTTTCTTTGTCAAAAGAAAACAAAAAATTTCACAGGTTTGCTCAGAAATTGTTCACAGTTTATAGGGAGAGTGGGAGCTTTCCAGAGCTGTTTTCATTCTCCTCACACAGGCAGTCTGAAGGTGGCTGAATGGCCACATTTTAAGTCTGGCAGAAATTAGATCCTACATCTCCGTACCATCTGCCCAAATAACCTTCAAAATAATCATTACAGAACAAATAATTTTTTTGAGTGTGCTACAGAAACTTAAGTTATGAAGCACAGGGGCCGGAAGGATTTTTAGGTCAACATTTCCTTTTCATCTTGGGGTAGCATTCTGGGACACGCAGTGTGCACTTACAACCATCTCCCACTCACATAATGCTCGTGAGCAGAGTTTGCTAAAATGGGGTACTATCTGCAAAACTGAAGATACTGTGATTTTGGGGTACATGGACACGTAGGTTCAGTATGTTTTTGCCTATGCTGATCTCATGCATGAAAAAAAATCCTCCCCTAAAACCGTTCACAAGCCTTTCTCAACTAAAGTGCCATTTAGCTGTGCTTAGCATCGTTCGGCTCAACAGAAAATTATTACTGATTTAACACAGCAACAACAGTTCTCAGCAAGCTTTTCATAGGGATGATTTTTTATTTTACAGTGAGTAAAACATTAGTGTCAGCTGTGAGAAGGTTTGGTTCTTACTCTCCATCATCCCATAGCTAGACAAAAAGAACCGAAGCCTCTGAAAACAAAACTTACCGTATAGAAGCTGCAGAAAGAGACACTCAGAACAGCAAGGCAAAAGCTAGGTGTGCTAAGAAGTGCTTCTTGTCCATCTAGACCTTAAACACCAATTCCTCCTGAAAAATTAATACCCTGCACATGTGGCAAAGTAAGGTGCTTTGAGCAATTTAGAGCATAAAGGCCAGTATAGCTTTAAGCTCATTATATAAAATAGAACATATTTTTTAAATTTATAAACAAATTTAATATGCTCAGAGAAGAGAGCAAATTATTAAATATTGGGAACAGATGGGGAAATGTCAGACCATGGCTACTTGTATTTCCCACATTTTACAGCTGGTTTGCAAGTATGAAGCATGCAGAGGTTTAAGCCACTGAGATCAAATGATCACAGAGCACCAAATTCTGTACCCTTTATTCATGCTCTTTATCCTGCATTTAATTCAAGTGGTGTTTTACCTGAAAGCTATACCTTCTTGTGTAAAGTGTTTTCACTTAGGACTGGCTTTTTCACTTAGCACCTCCTTCAGAGCTTTTTCCTTCTCCTGTATGTCAAGGAGAGGAGGACTGTCTGCAGCATTCCCAGCCCACAAAAATTCTTCATCTTCCCCTAGAGAAACTGGCACTTACAGCTGGTCCATCCCTCTTTCCCTTCAGACTTTGATGTACCTTAGTCTCTTCAACATTTTAAGCCTTAGAAAATATGGAAGGTATCTTTACTTCTTTGAAGAAGAAAAACAGGATCTGTGCAGTAAATACAAGGAGCATTTTCTCCTTGTTTAGTCTGTTGTAAACAGTTCCTGTTTAACCCCCCACCCCCACCAGCAAACAGCTGGTGTCATTATATTTAAAACAAAAAAAATGAGTAGAGTGATGCAGCCAAACACTATGAGAGTGTTCCTTTTAACCTGAAACTCTGCCTGTGGGCCACATCATCCTAAAAACCCTTTGATACAAGATAGGAACTAATGCTAGGGGCGGATCCAGAACTGCACACAGGTACCTGCTGATTTGCCAAGTTATGGGTTTTAAAAGTCTCCTAGCCTGCTCCTGGCACCTCTCGTCAGTCACTGACAGGAAGATCTTCCTCTGTGAAGGGCGATTTGCACAGCAGGGGACCTGCAGAGCAGCTGCCGCAGGTACTGCAAAGAAAATAGAAGAAGCAAATTATACAAAAATGAAATGGAAAAAGGAACCAGAGAGGGAGGGGAGGAATTTGCTCTTATGAAAAGCGGGGCATGGAGCAAAGGGGGCAGAAGAAAAGGAAGTCACAAAAACGTCATGATATCAGAGCACAACGGATATAAGTGGTAAGAGATATTAAATGCCACACAGTGAAGGAAGGTGTGATTGCATACAGAAAGCACTGGTGTGCCACGCCATCAGAGCTATGCAGGATCCAGCTGCATGGACATCCTACGTCATGGCCAGGCCAGGAACTCCCTGTGCCTTCAGAACAGGAGCAGAGCTCAAGTCACAGCAGATGCTGCTTTAAATTCTCATGGAGTACAGCTTAACACCTGGTGCTCCTGGCTCGATGGCAGCACCCCATGCACTGCTGTCTTGCCATCTCAAAGTGCTCTGGAGGACATTTCCATGGTAAGCAGAAGGCTTCAGAGGCAGGGCTGAACTTTTCAAAGGTGCAAGAGGACTTACTTTAGCTTCAGTTTGTAGCATATGGGAAGGAGAAAAAGCAGTAAATTTAGTTTTTATAAGCCATATATATAACATCAAACACAGGATTAGCTTAGGTGTTGTGCTTTAAGGAGTGATGTTTGCTTGGCCCTGCTGGTTGGGATGCTCACAGCTATGAGCTGTAAGGTGACTGGAAGTACAACCAAAGTATGTTTTCAGGAGGTGAAGCAGCCTTACATCAGCCCCTGGAAAGACAAGAACTAGATAGCACAATATAACATTTTGAGATAACTGTGTTCCATAAAATGATGGAAGAGATGAGCGAGAAGACCTCCTTAGCTTATGCCTATAGAGAAGAGGAGGAAACCAAAAGGCAGGCCAGTCTGATACAAGGAAGGCAGTCAGGAAGCACAATGAAATGGCTCATTCTTGTCTTGGTCAGTTACCTCCTTAGAATCACAGAATTACTCAGGTTGGAAAAGACCTTAAAGATCATTAAGTCCAATCACAACCTAACCAAACTACCCTAACAACCCTCTGCTAAATCATGTCCCTGTTCCCCCCTACTTGAAAAAGCAATAAATACTGGTTTCACTTCAACCTTACCGCCCTCCTGAAAATAACTAGAAATATAATCCATCCACAGGATAATTTATATCCAAAAGCACAACTCCAGTGAGAAGCTGAAGGTAAACCAGGCCTTCAAATCCAACCAGGCATACATAGGTTTTGATACAATTAAGACCAAGACCCAACCTTACCAATTATAGCTTTAAAATCTCTTAAGTTCTGGCTCAAGTCAGAGCTCCAGCTTCAGGCACACTAAACTACAAGCAGATTAAATAGAATTTTTTTCAATTTTAGTTACAAATTTCAGTAAAGAACAGATTGCTAAGAACTAGAGGAGAAATCAGTCCATACAAACCTGGTATTTTAAATACAGAAACCATTCACTTTTTTGTTTTAACCAATTCCAAGCTGTCTCCAGCAATGTGCACTAACATTTTAAGCTTGAGAACGTGTCACTTTACACAACTGCAGCTGTGTTCTATCTCTTTGAACAAGTCACTTAAACTGTTACAGTTAAAAAGCTCTGATTTTCCAAATCAGCTGGGAAAGAAATTTCATAGCAATATCATCCAACTTGTTAAGATTAGTCATGACTAAAATTAAGGGCATACACAGGAGTGACCATGGGAAAAACAGACCTTTCAAAAGTATTTCTGGGGGTAAAATCACATATTAATCCCGAGAGATAATGAAGTAATGCTTCAAATTTGCAGGCAGTACTACAGGTCTTCCAAACCATGGAAAATGAACACACCTGAAGCTGAATGTGAAGAATGAATGTGAATGGGTGGTGGAAGGAAATATTCACTAATACAAAGTTGAGTAACTATATACATATAATGTTTTTTGTTTGTTTTTTCAAGCTCTGAGTAGAACAACATCTGAAAGTCTGATGCCCCAGTAACGTTTTGTCTTTGAGTTCAGGACCGGAACTCTTATCACCCAAGACGTATTTCCTTTTAGTAGGGGAAATAAATCTAACAGGGCTGACAGCTTTGACCTCCAGTGCAGTGACAAGGCACATGCTTAAGCTTTGCAAGAAGCAATCAGAGATACAGTGTTCACCTGTCTGCAGTAAGTAAGCAACCACAGAACATACAAGAAATATGACAATGTTGAGTGACTGTATTATATGCTAGTAAGGGAAAGGGTGCTGGAGCTAAATTGATTCATTAAAATTAGGTTGATTGCTGAGCTATATGCAATGCCTTAAACATAAGCAGTCAAAGCTGACTAAAAAGGAAGCAAAAACTGAACAGGGACTGAACACAACCTGTCACTGATGGGGGGTGGGGAGGAAGGAAAAAAAAACAAAAGCAGATACTAAGAGAAAAAAAAGGATCCATAATAGCATGAAGTTCTGCATGCTCCCATCTCCCACCAAAGCATAATTCTAAAGGAGGAATTTTAGTCCTGCCAGATGCATGTTTTCTTTCGGACCAAGAGTACTTGGCTGCACACATTTCAAACCCACTCAGACTTGTGGGTTTAAAAATGTGCTCTTGTAAGCAAGCCTTCTGCATTCCACTGAGAAGCAGGGCACTCACATTTCCAGCACCACTAAAGGTAAATCTATTCATTGTCATAGCTGTGTACCAGAAGGCACGCATAGCAACTGAGCCCACCCCTCACAGAAGGTACCAAACATACTAAGTTATCAAGGAGAGAAGGAAGAAGAGTCTGATACTGAAAGCTTCCCCAAGAAAAACCTCCTCTGTGAAAAACAGAGAGAGAGAGTAGCTGGCATGCACTTGTATTTTTTCACTGACTTATTCTTCAGCCAAATGAATGCACACGTAGGTGGTGCATCAAAGTGAGCTGATCTGTGCCATAAAACCAAAGTTAACTTTGCTTTAAAACAGCACTCACAGATTTCCTTTGCTGACAAAATCACTTCAAGCAGGAACAGACCTTTTCAACACTGAATGCATCAGAAAGGAGGAGGATGTTGATTGCTTTTCAGACCAGATCCTCAGCTGCTGCACACTGACACAGAGCCACTGATTGCACTCTTATTTTCATTGAGTAAAAAGCATCTGATACGATTCAGGTGAGCTATTAGAAAAACAGGTGAGCTACCACAAAAAAAGCAGGTGTCTGGGGTTGTTATTTTGTTTGCTCTGGGTTTTTTGTTCTTAACTGAAAGGAGGAAAGGTCAATCCAGGCCTGTTAAATTGAGAGTGTTAAATAATAGAACTTTTTATTAATCTTCTAGGATCTGATACTTGCTTTCACTAGTATTGTTATTTCTCCACATCTTAATGATTCTGAGATATTAGAAAGCAGCTTCACTTTGCAAAATTGTAGAAATTTATGTATGATCTTTGAACAGAAGCTTCTGAGCTCCAGAAGAGCTGCGTTAAGAGACAGCAATTTTTACCCAAAGCATCTGTGTGATTTGGAGAAGATAATATGAAGCCATTTTTAGTCCATTTTGCTAATTGCATTAATTCCCCTGTCTTTACTTCATCTAATTTAGAAAAGCAGAAGTAACTAATCACAGTTCACTGTTTCAGTATGGGTGGTGATTTAGGCCGAAAGTCTTTTTCCATAGTTTGTTAGTTCAGATTATGAAATGCCTAAAACTCTGCAGACCCCATATTCTCCAGCTAAGATCCCATATTCCAGTTTTACACTCTACTACATTGTCATTAATTAGCATTACTGCAATAGCAAGACCAAGACACATTTCTACAACCTTCCTGTTTTTACTAGCATGGAAATCATTGTGTCTGGCCTCAGTGCCATCGCTAAATTTATGTCTGCTTCCCATCTTCTTGCAGGCATTTGTATTTAGATAATGTGTGAAATCCTGACCATCTTAATTAATGACAAATTTCCCATGAACTTCCACAGGGCCTGGATTTCTCTGTATGAATGCCTGAATCGAGTCCCCTGATTTTATTCTACCCTACAAAGCATCTAAAACACAGTAGTTGTCTGCTCACTAACAAATAAATCCCTGACAATGGTGAGCTGCTCTAGAACAAAGCATCCTAAAAACCTTAATGCCATCTTTAATAGCTAGCTAAACAGTATGTTGTTTTAGCCTCCATTACTTCCTATGGACAGCCTATGAGACTACTTGTGCTCTCAAGTTAAAAGCAAGCTTACAAAATGAAATGCCAGACTCACATTTTTATATAGCTTTTGCATTAGAGGCTGTTTGATAGCTTTCTGTTGAATCAATCTAGAATGCTGTTGCCACTAATAACTCCTGCTATAAATTAATAGAAATCAATAGAATAATAAGAAGCAAACTTTCTGTGATAATTCATCATTCAACCACTACAAGAAGAAAAAGACTTGAATAGGCCTGAACAGGCACATGAAAAATAGATCAGCATGAAGGCAGACACGAGGGATGGGGAAACAGAATAAACACAAGAAACTACTTGGAGAGGGACCGTATCGGAAGACCCCCCACCAGGTTTCAATAGTCACACACAAGTCCAACTCAATATTACAAATGGTGTCACAGGCTGTGAAGGGCCCAGACCCTTTGTGTACAAAAATCCATGGCCATGGAGCTCCACATTTCTTTTATAGGCCTTTTGAGAACTATGGCTGAGGCGTCTCATTCGAACCACCCAGCCAAGAAGCATTAGTTCTCCCTGCTGCCATGCTGCAAGGAGTGAGATATCACCATTGACGACTTCTCCTCTCACCTTTCTGTAGATATCATAAAGCTCACACATAAAATCACAAAGTAGAAGTTACAAGGGGTATTTGTAAAATATTTTTCCTTTGTTAGTCTATATAGATTAAAAGTTCGTTCAAGGGGATACTGTTCATTTTTAATGGCCTGTCCAAAGCCCTTAGTGCCAATGCTCGAAGAACTTCAAGGCTTCTGCTTCTGCTAACCAGATAGATGTACTGCAGTTGAATGTTGAAAGTGTGATTTTAGCCAAAAATCTGAAAGTGACTGCTAAAAAAA